TACGAGTTTCAACCGATATCGCATCTTTTTGGTGGACGCAATAGAATGCAGAGTGGCAATGATTTGATTGGACAATCCCACTGTCTCCTTGTCTATTCATCCATGTTTTCCCTCAAACGATTTTGTTGCGCCATACATATTTCCATTCCCAGATGAGAGAGGGTAGATATCTAAGGTAGATATCTAAGCGACTGCCGCATTTTGTCTCTGGGGACGAACCAACCAGAAACTCCTTCACCTTCTGTAACTTGGAATTGAATTTTTGTTTTACTTTACCTAGCCCATCGCCCAATTTAGTCCTCATCCCAGTTCTGTCATGATACGTGTTAGTAAATTTTTGTAGGAGATATGAAGAGGGCTAGAAACTCACAGGGTTGGGGCCAGGGGGTTTGGGGCCACCAGCCTGTCTTGCGACAATGATCTGGTCGACGGATAAGACGGTGCGGGCGGCTTCGGTGGCGAGCTTGATAGCCCAGGATTTTGAGGTGAGAAGATCGAGTATTCCTTCCGAGTTTGCATCCAGGGTGCCGGTGTTGTCGTTGTTCTAGGGTTGAGAGTGGGTGTAAGACAGCTGCAAGACGTTGAGCTTGTTTGCAATGATTTGAAACTTACCTCTACGTCAACGCCGGTATCGCCATCTTCATTCTTGTGGTGAGCAGCATATAATTTACTCAGAACCTCAGTGGCATCGAGGCCACAGCTTTCTGCCAAGGTGCGAGGAATGACCTCGAATGCTTCACCGTACTTTTTGATGGCATACTGGCTTAGTCCTGGGGTCTTTTCGCCTTGGGCTTGTATTCTGGCGCTTAGTTGAATTTCTGTAGCTCCGGCACCAGGCACGAGGCGAGGATCACGGGTGATGGCCTTGACAACGTTGACACCGTCATCGACGGCGCGCTCTACGTCGTCAAGGTGATTCTGGGTGGCGCCACGAAGGACAAGGGTGGCAGTTCTGGTGACTTCGTCTTCTTGTCTGAAGACGGTGACGCGGTCACCACCAATCTCGAGGGTCTCAACAACGTCAATGTTGCCCATTTCATCAGGCATAGGGGCACCTAGTCGGGCGAGAGGGGTGGCACCGACAACCCGGCATACCCGGCGTAGCTCGAATTTGCTGAGGATTCTGATGCAGAGGATACCGAAACGATTAAGGTAGTGCATGGCTAAATCGCCAACCTTGTCGCCGCAAACAACAACACGGAGGCCAGAGTCATGCAGTTCCTTGATGGCGGTCTCGAGCTTGGCCTCCTCGCCTTTGCTAAAGTCCATCATTTCCTTGGCATTGTGCAGCAGTACAGTGCCCTTGGTCTCGGTCTGGCTGGTATCGATGGGGCAGGTGAAGACGGCAACCTTGGCACGACGGGCCTTCTTGACAGAACCATCGGGTTCCTTGGGGAACACCATACCCTTGACGACTCGGCTCTGCTCCAGGCTACCACCCATGATCTTGACGACGCGGATATTGTCGACGTTGAAGTTGGTAGGGTTTTTCGGCAGAACGGCCAAGACGGCTTCGGCGACGAGATCAGCCAGGAAGTCCTCGTTGCCGTTCTGCTTGCTGGCGATGACGGTTCGAATAGCCTTGCTCAGCTCCTCCTGATCACGGATGTCTTCGACCTTGTCGACGGCAAGCTTCTCGAGCGTCTCGAGGGCAAAGTTCTGTGCCTTTTCGTAGCCCATGACGACGTCTGAGGTTTTGAGGCCCATTCGCAGAAGGTCCTCGGCTTTGCGAAGCAGCTCACCGGCCAAGATAATGACCAGGTTGGTGGCGTCGCCCATCTCGGCTTCCTGCTGCTGACTGGCCATGACGAGGAGTTTGGCGGCGGGGTGGACGACATCGAGCTCCCGGAGAATGGTAGCGGCGTCGGAGGTCAAGATCATCTTCTGAAGGTGGTTGATGACAACCTTGTTGCGGCCGTAGGGGCCAAGAGAGGTCTGGACAGTGGAGGCAATGGCACGGCAGGCGTCGATGTTTCGCAAGACGGCGCCATCTTCGGAATCATAGCTGGTGATGGCCCCCGCATGTTAGCAAAACTTGATGCGGCGGGGTGTTGATGAGAGCGAGGGCATTGGGCGCAGCAACTCACTTGTTGTAGCCTTGCTTGAAGAGGCCCGCGTTGGGGGCATTTGGGATGTTGAGAGACATGGTGGCAAGGCGGTGAGATGTGAGACGTAAGACTAGCAGAGGCTCACCACACTCGGGCTTGCGACGAGTAGAGGCGGCGGCGGTGGTGATGGAGGCGGCAGATTTGTCGTGGTTCTTGTGCTTTCCACTCGAAAGCTCCCCCGTGGAAATGGCCCCGCCAGAAAATCTGTGGTGGTCGAGTGTGGTGCTTGCAGCCTTGGTGGTGGTGGTGGTGGGTGGTTCCTTCCTGCGTTGGTGCTGCATCTGTGGCCCTGGAGGGTCTTTAGTTAATCCGCCTCCACCACATGTGCAGTCAGTCAGTCGCTCATGGAGTCGCCCATGGCGTCCGAATACCGGCATGTCCCGAGCACCCATGTCACCCATGTCACGTCTGGTCCAACTGGAAGGTACACCAGCACCAGCAATGCAGGCATAAACCATTGAACACCACGTCGGCGCTGGGCTTGCGCACATGGGACGTGGGAAAGACCAAGTCGACCAGTTTGACTCCAATGCACCTGTTTGTGCCCTTCTGACGCGCCAATCGTCTCGTCGCATCACAGCCTTGCGTGGCCTCGCTCGCACGCAACCTCAATCGTCATCTCCATCTCATCTCCATCTCATCCTCGTCCTCATCCTCATCCTCATCCTCATCGTCCTGCCTCCTCGTATCCGTCCTCGTCTACTTCCTCACTGCCCACCCACTCGTCCTGCGGCGGCGTCCTTGAAAGCATCTCAGCTCAGCTCTAGCCTCTCCACTGCCTCGTGCCGGTGCTTCTCGACGCCATCACCTCCCGCGCCCCCTTTCTCTCTCTCTCTCTCTGCCCACGCAATTGATTCGGCTTTCCTTGTAAACAATTGGATTCATTTTTTGCTGCTTGGTCATTGCTACCGCTTGCTTTGCTTTTGCATCGCCATCCGTTCGGCCCTCCACCCTCCGATTGTCCGCCTCCCTCGCCCATCATCCATCGCATTAGGACCCGCCCTCGTCGCTCAAACCCAGCGCCTTTCGTATTATTATTACTGTTGTTGCTGCCGCTATGGCGCCGCCATCCAGTGAGTGTTACTGCTCTGCTCCCGTGCCTGCTCGACTGATTCGTCCTTCTCGTCTCTTTCAGGCGAATCAATGGAACATGGGCCATTTCCCATTTCCCATTTTCCATTTTCTGCCCACGGTTGCCGCACACCTCCATCATAGTCCCTCCCGTGTCGCGCTAGTCTGCGCAACACCTTGAGCCTCTTGCTTCTCGACATCCAGCATCCACTTTCCGTTTCTTCCCTTTGGCGCATCGTCAGCTTTCATCAAAACACGCCGCTGTGCCATCGTCACGACAACAGCCGTCATGCCTCCCAAGAGAAAGCTTGCTGACATTGAGCCCGAACCAACAGCCGTTCCTCCCTCGCTGCCTCCCTCCGTCGAAGAGGCTTACCGCCGCAAATGCGTCCAGCTGAAGAATCGGACAAACGAGGTCGAGGATGCCAACGACGCTGCTAGACTACGTCTCGCACGCATAAAACGCCAAGTCGAGAAGTTGAGGATAGAACGGGCCTTTTTGCTTGAACAGCTGGCCAAGCGCACCAGCACCAACGTTGAAGACTCTGAGGGTAGCCCGAGCCCACCACCAACTGTGAGCCTGCCCCGTCTTGACATTTATGTTTGTATAATCTTTTCGGATGTCTTTGCCAAATTTGATGAGCCTCACAACTCTCAATGCCACTCTGGCTGCGTATCGTCTCCCATTCATTTCACATGCTGACGAGCGAGCCCATCAGCCCAAGGACAAGCCGCTGCGCATCAAGCGTGGCCACCGAAAATCTGCCCTCCTCGACCTCGACTCCAAAGCCACCCCCAACAGCTCCTTCAAAGGACCCGCATCACCCTCAGAATCCCAGGCCAAGCGAGGCAGCGCCGACCCCGACGACACCCCTACCAATGGCATCAGCAAGCCATCCAAGCTCCCCAAGAACGCTTTCGAGCTCTACTGTGAGGACGCCCGGCCTATCCTTGAAGCTAAGAGCAAAGATGGCGATGGAGATGGCGATGGCGATGGCGATGGCGACGCTGATGCCGATCTAAACGTTGACGAGGAACTCACCCGCGCGTGGGAAGACCTTCCCGACGCCGACAAGGAAGAGTACGAGACTAAGTTTGAAGAGCTCTCCAAGAAGGCGGACGAGAAGGACGACGAGGACGAGGACAAAGACGGGACTGAAGATACGCCCGAGAAGGAAGAAAAGGCCGGGGACGCTGATAAGCCCGAAACTCAAGACGAAGATGTCGAAATGACCAATTATGACACAGAGGATCAGGATCAGGATCAAGATGCAGATCAGGATGGGGAGACACGGATGGAGAAGGATGGGGATGATTAAACTGCTAGACATGGAGAGGAGGAGATGGGGGCATTTGGACAAAAAAGTCAGTGCGGGGAGTTTTTCGGTCTCTTCATTTTGTATGGTTAAACATACAAGGGGCGTTTGTTTTTGCTTGTATGAAATGTCGACGGGTTAATATGGTCAACAAGATATACATAGATATTTAAAATAGCTTTGTGCCATGGGTTTGTATTGATCCCATCCGTTTACTCAGATGTAAAAGCAGCAGGGTATTCCGTGTGCCTTGCAAGTAATAAATGCGTGTTTCCTACCTATGCCCAAATGTTTTGGAAACTCCATTCCACCACTGGTATTGTAACATGAAGAACGGAGAATAAAAAGAAGAGAATAAACATGAAATATACATCTCTCTCCCAGCGGTCGTAGACTTGTCTAACATGGTCCTAGCAGATGAAGTAGACAATGGCATGGAACAGCGGCATGCTGCCTAATTTCCCGAATATCCAAGGCACTAGAATACAGCATATACCAAAAGAAATTACATGTCGCCTGCCCACACATCGACAGCAATATTGATACATGCGACAAAGATTTCCATGGCAATCAGTATAATAACTGGCGATATATTAGCACATTTCGAACAAGTTGAAAAAAAAAACACCAGGGAGAAGAAAAGGGGACAAGCAACTTACCAATCCACTCGAGCTTCTCGCCGTGACCATGACTCAACTGGTCCTTGAGCACGGCCAACAGGTCGGCAATAACGTCGAGTCTCTCATTCAACAGGCCCACGCGCTGATCCATTTCCAGATAGCTCCTCACTGCTTGGTACACAGGTTCGAGCTGAGGCTCTACCCAGAAGAGTTCGGGGGTGTCAAGGACGGAGCCATTGAGGTGGATTGCGATGCGGAGGATGAAGAGGTCGCCTATTTGCATGTTGATTTGTTTCCGGGAGAGATTAATTTTGCCGGTGAGGGCGATGTGGGCGGGTATGTCTTTGCAGGTGTCGACGGTGGTAGCTATTAGTTCTTCGTACAGGGACGTCTGAATTACTGCAGTTAGCATCGAGCTGTGTGGTTGCGGTGGGTGTTGGATGATGGACAGAGGACATGGGGTAGTCAGCAGTACCTTGACGCTTTGTGCGAGTGCGTGAGATATAGCCAGCTTGATCATGTAGTTGTTCCTGTCTCTTAATGTGATGAAATCGTTGTATATGCGAGCCTGGTACTCGCGGGTATAGTAAAAGTTGAAGAGCTCAGTCTCTATGTCGTCTGGCGCCAGCTTTTCTAGCTCGAATTTGGCCAGCTCTTTGAGGAACTTGGCCTCTTGTGATGCCGTCATGCCCCATATGACCACGACCCCGTAGTCAAACAGAAATACTTCAGGGGTGTGAACTTGGGTATCAAAATCCAAGATGTCGTCTGCCGCGGGCGCTTCTTCTGTGACGGCTGGTCCCAGCAGGCTTTCATTGCCTAAATGACTGGGATCGGGAATATTGTTGGCAGAGGACTCGTCAGCGTAGCCGGAGTCATGGTTTTGCAAACCAAGAGTTTGATGGCGCTGGACCTCGTCTTCCATGATCTCGCTGCCGGTTGAGTGGCGCCGCAGGTAGCTCCGGACTGGGTCCTGGTGAATTCTGGTGGGTTTGGTGTAGGAGTAGGGAGTATAGATGCATTCGTCGATGATTTTGGGGTTGGCACCACGCGCTTTGCCCCGACCCTTGAGGAAGCGCATTAATGAGTCCATCTGGTACTTGTCGGCGGTACAATAGGCCGTGACCCGGGGTAATCGATCGCGGTCGCTTTTGCCGAGTCTCGCAGCGTCTCTCCTCGCAGTGGGATCCTTAATTCTCGTGTACTGAGAGTAAACATCTCGGCCGCTCTCTTCATCTTCACCATCTTCAATGTCGGGGTTTGGTAAGAGCTTCAGCTTCTCCGTCTTCTTGGTACTTCGCTGCGGCCCAATCTTGGAGCCGAGGTATGGTTGAGCAGTGGTGGTGGTGGTGGGTATGGTGACGCTGCCGTGACTATTGCGCCTTTTGAGCTTGTTGTTCAATGCGGTGAGGACGGGCGGGCTGACACGAGGTGGCCCGGGAGGAAGGTTGCTGCTGGCGGATGCAGCGCTGCTCCGAGAGGAATAGGACTCGGGTTCGAAGGTCTTGGTAACGGGGTCGGGGCAAAAGGTGACGGTTCGAGCGTTTCGGGGCCGGGGATCGGAAGTAGGAGGCGTGGTAGGAATCAGGGGTGTGTTTTCGCTGATGACTTGGGGCTCCATGATGACGGGCCAGGATGATCAAAGGTTGGCTGGGTAGGGGCCCTTTTGAATCGGAGTTTATTGAGCAGCAAGCAGGTTGCTGTGATGGCGGATGCAGGAGCTCGGCTCGGGTGGTGCGGCCGACGGCAAAGGTTATTGCTGGATGAGATGGAGCGTCATAGTAAAGGGAGGAGCAAAACCATGCAATTGCATTCGGATGCTGTGAGTTGAGGCAAACAGGGACCAAGGCAGAGAGGCACAGGGCGGCGGTGGTGGTTGATGGAAGATGGCGTCTGCAGCAAGTCGTCATGAGATTTTTCGAATGGAGTTTGTACTCCGTAGACTGTCAATAATGAATGAATGACGGCGGCAGCTTGCGAGGTCTGTTCCCAATTCGGCCAAGAGTGGACAGCGGCGGGAGGCCCGTGCATGTACATGGTACTACGTACTGTATGTACATGCTTGTATGTGGCAGCAGACAGTCAAGTGAAGATGATACTTACTTAAGTACATTAAGCTAGGTGCCTACCTTAAGTAGGTAGATACTTACTTAAGTAAGAGGTATGTACGTTAAAGTCGCGGAGTGATGGTGACACACCGAGGCTTTGGCCGTCTAAACTTTGGCAAGGAAGCGCTGCGGTTGTTCGCCCTGGCTGAAAGGCAACATTGAAACAAGACGGACTTGGTTAATTAGAGCGCAGTGGCTCGCGGCATTCGTAGACGGTCTTGAGGCTACGGCAAGGGCTATGAGTTCAAGGTTCCAAGGTACATGGCGAGGTACTCGGCTTGACAGGCGCGTGAGGGCATCAAGGTACCAGTTGACCTCAGCATTTGCTTGTGGCTTAGGTAAGTACCTAGGTAAGTATGGAGTCTAAGCATACCAGGTGCCGATATGGTATTGACGCCTTTGCCTCGTCAAGAGGTATACACGAATGCACATAACCATCGTGTACTGAGTCAACTGGCATACATACTTAAGTACTATATCAATTGACATCTGCCAATATTGAGCCCGTGCCCACAGCTGGGCGCCCTATGCACGTCCTCCGCCCTCGACGCCACGACATGTGCGGCGGCAAAACACGAACAATGAACCAAGGTGTAAATTTTTAGGAGGCTTATTTCTTAAGCAGTGCATTCAAAAAGAGCATCTCCGGAGATATTCCCAAGGGTCCAAAGTTTCTTGCCCTGCAGAGACGGGGACGGCGGCCGCGGGGTCCCGCTCGGTGGGCCAAGCAACATGCAGTTCCTGGCCAGTTACGGAGTACAGGCACCTGCGCTCCAGTCTGCACAGGACCCCAGACTCGACGCACCTGCATCAATGCTTCCAGTCCACATGCACCAGACCCACCAGACCATCTGCAGGCCAGGTTCAGGGTAAGTCGGTTTGAATCAATCTCACCAGCACGCCAGTTGCAAATCAATCATTACTTCCAAAGTTACCACTTGGACTAATTGACAGCTCCTTGATTCCTCATGCATGAGCCAGGTTCGGTCTGATCCAAGCCCCGACTGTATGCTTGAATTCCGCAATGCTGCATCCAGGCCTGCAAACGCCGCGGAAATGCAACTCATCCGTCAACTCACCCGACAAGCTTGGCGCCATTCTTTGAAATGTCCAAGCCTTGAATGGCCCGATCTGCTCCATCGTGTGTGGTTGAAGGCTCTATTTTGATACACCACAAGCCAAGCATGCATTATGCATTGTGCTTTGAGCCTCCGCAACCTGTCGACGTGCCTGATGCGCATCATCACGATTTACCATTACCAGCTGACCATCTGACCTAGTGCTCGCCAAGCGCCAGTCGGACGGGACGCTGTTCAGCCTCCCGTGTCTCGTCATCCGGAGGGCGCATCTCCAAATGTACTCTCTCATCTTTCATCCGCGAACCAGCAGCCGTCTATAAAGTCCACCCTCCTCTGGACCTGGACCTCCCTCGCTCTCTTCTTGCCTCCCTCTCTCTTCTTGCCTCCCTCTCTCTTCTTGCCTCCCTCTCTCATCAACCATCATACAACCCACCGTCACCTCACCTCACCTCACTACAAACCATGTATCTACGAACCGTCCACGCCGAATCACGCATCCCGGCCCTCAGAGACCTCATCCGCTCATACCCCCTCGGCGTCCTCACCACCGCCATCCCATCCTCCACCGAACCCTTCATTCAGGCAACTCACATCCCCTGGCTTCTCGACGTCCAAGATGAGTCTAGCGAAACCGAGCTTGGTGTCCTCCGCGGCCACTTGGCCCGTCAGAACCCCCATAGCAAGGTCATGATTGAGTCCGTCTCCTCCTCCTCCAACAACAACAACAACAACGCCACCAACACCAACGTCCTGGAGCAAGATGTCCTGGTCCTCTTCACCGCCACCCCGTCACACTACGTCACGCCTCAGTTCTATACCGAGACGAAGCCATCGACTGGCAAAGTAGTCCCCACGTGGAACTACGCCGCCGTCCAAGCATACGGCAAGGCCAGGATCTACTACGACTCCAAGTCAGATGAGACGTCGCACTTTCTTACGCGCCAAATCACCGACTTGACCAACCACACCGAGATTTCCATCATGGATTATACCGGCCAGAACGGCCGCCCTGATCAGTGGAATGTGACGGACGCGCCGGACCGCTACATCGAGCTGCTCAAGAAGAACATCATCGGCATCGAGATCTCCATTGACAAGCTCCAGGGCAAGTTTAAGATGAGCCAGGAGATGAGCAAGGGTGATCGGGACGGTGTTGTCCAGGGATTTGCGACACTTGAGTCGGATGTTGCGAGGGCCGTTTCCGAGGTTGTCCAGGAGAGGAGCGAGATGAGGGAGGCTGCGAAGCGATGATTGCTTGGGACTCAAGAGCAGATGAGAGCAGGCCAGAGTTTTTTCGCTTGCCGTTGGGCAATTCCCGGCTACCGACAGGCGTTGACAGTAAAACACAAGGTGCAGAAAACGGCAATACGGTATTCTGTTGAGCGGTTCCGACCTGGACTGCTTTGGGGAGTTGGAAATGAAGATGGAATACACGAATATATGACTATGATTTACACCAGATGTAGAAAGAAAGCCAATTGACACTTTTGTCAGCAGCAGCAGCAGCAGCAGCAGCAGCAGCGGCATAGTGATGACCTCTCAAGAACCTGAAAATAAGGATCCAACCGAGCTGGTCACCAACTTCCTGTGCATCCACAGCATCTTCCCGAGAGTAATCCCAAGTCCCGATACTGAAGCAACCACAACGGCTCCAGCAGCCATCAGATCCCAGTTTCTAGCCTTGTACATGGGCATTCTCATATCCGCCGTCTGCAAATGCATGGGCCGCAGCTCCCTGTCTCCTTGAAACCTCAGCTCAGCGTCATACATCAGCTCCTCTATCAAATCAGCCGCGTGGTGCTTTCGACGGGCGGCCACGCGGGCAATGCGCCGCAGCCGCAGCACGTTCCTCGCATAGAGGCCTTGCTCGTCTCGCAACATCGTCCGTGCCTTGGTGTACAGTTCGTCCGACGTGAAGCGGAACTTGTTCAGCGGTTCGGCCACGCCGGCCCCTACGAGCCGCGTCATGTTTGCGACTTGGTCCGAGAAGATGCCCATGGCCAGCATTGGCTTTCCGTGGTAGACGCCCTCATTGGCGCTGGAGCCGCCGCCGTGGGTAAAGTACAGACACACCGAATCGCTGTCCAGTATGGCTCGCTGGGGAGCGAACAGAGTAAACAGCCAGTCCGGGTGTCTGCCGTCCATCAAGTCCCCCAGCCGTAGGGCCCGGCCCTGGTGTTGGAATGTCTGGCCGCCGTCCATGTCTCGACGACCGCTTCTGCCCACTGCCCAAATCACGCCGTCAACCAGGCCTTCTGCAAGGAGTCGCAGCAGCCCGTTGACAATCTTTGCCGTGTCGTCGTTCGTGAGGATGACGTGCGTGCCCAGCGCGACATACACCGTCTTCCCGTGTCCGGCGAGGAACCTGTCCGTGGCATCATCCAGGGGGGGGAACTCGTCGCCCAGAATCGGTCCTACCGGCGCACATAGAGGCGGCAGGTCCTTTGGCACCTCCAGCCCATAGAATGAATTGACCAACACCAGGTAGTCTGGCTTCGTGGGACTCGGCAAGTCATAGCCGACGCCGGCCTTCCTGCGCATCGCCCTGGTGAACCTGGACAGCTTCACGATCTGCGGCAGCGCCCGAATCACCACCCACTCATTCCTGAGCCGCAGCCACATCGACGCGTCTTCCGACGTCAAGGTCCCCTCTATTTGAAATCCCGGCTCGCCCGGTATGTAGGAGCAGGGGAACATGAGATGGGGCATTTGCGGCCACACCACGGCCAGGGGCACACGATACTCAAAGTGTACGTCTTTAACGGCGTCGGCGAAGAAATCCGCCACAATCATGCCCGGCTTCGCACTGGAGTCGTCCTCCATGATGGCCTTCAAGCGCTTATACGTCTGGGGCCAGAACGAGTCGAACATGAACTTGGACTCCATGGTGGTCGCTACCCCCCTGGACATGTCCCAGTCGCGCATGCGAAGGTAGTGACTGTTCATTTGTTCTTCTGTTGGACCCGGCCCAAGAACATGGACCTTGGTGACGAATTCATAGCCGCTGACCCAGTTCTCTTGGCCGTCCAGAGTGGCAAACTCGATGTTGTGCCCGCGCGCGGAGAGAACCTTGCCCAGCTCCAGGACGGGCGCTGCACGAGACAAATCCGTGTAAGTCGCACGATGATTGAGATGATGGACTGCGGCACTTACCCGCGTGTGTGAAGCCGCCAGTAGTGACGACGAGCAAAATCGTACGAGGCACTTCAGCCATAGTGGCCGTGATGAATTCGACTCAAGACTAGCCCCGGCCCTGGAGTAAGAAAGCCGTGTGCAGATGAGCGGCTTCTAATACGGATTCCAAAAGACGGGATTAAATGCCTTGAATCGCAACATCGGCCATGACACGTCAGATTATCACGCAAGCGATTTTACAAATCATGAATTAATCTCCGTCGGGGTTTGGACTGTGCGAAAAGTGAGTGGCACAAATCCAGGAATATCGAATCATCTGCCTCAGATACAACCAAAGCAGGCTGATTCGCACGCGGAATTCGGACGTACCATACAATGCCGATGGGGCAACACCTTCATGTACAGGGGTTCAACTGACGGAAATGCATGGCATCAACGTTGCAACCAGCTGAGTACGGAGTAAGCTTACCATAATACTACACAATTTATCCGCCTCGAGTGAGAACTAGAAGCAGAGTCCACCGGCGCATACTCGAATACAGTGTAAATAGAGTGACGAGTGTAAGAACTCTAGACAATATACTTTTCTTACGCCTATAAACCTGTCCCAATTGCAAATGTTGGCCGACAATACCATAACATGGCTGACACACCCATCACATCAATTATTGTCCATCGGCACGTCAAGGTAGAAGAATAAGTCAATTACCATATATCTGACAACGAAAATCAAACGTCACACTTCATCACATCCATCTCATCTCGTTAACACTCATTGTCCATCCTGCGCAAACCGATCCGTAAACTTAAACGTGGCAAGACCCTTCTTAAACTCCTCCACGATATCCGCAGGGCCGTCCTTGATGAACACGCCAGCACCCTCGCTGGCTCCAGCAGCCCCTACAACGTCCTTTGCCTTACCCAAGAACCCAACCGGCTTACCCCAGTTGTACCCATCCACGACGATCTGGAGGGGGCGGCCGGGCGGGAAAAGCGTAGACTTGTTCTTAGGATCAAACAGCTTCTCCGCGCCGTCGGTCACGATAATGCCGTCGAAACCAACCGCCTCGGCGCTAGTGTACGTCTGGTCAATGCCGTCAACACGAGACTCGCCGACAGTCACGACAGTGACCTTGCTGGCGCTGAATTGCTCCTTGAGAGAGTTCGCCTGAGTGAGAGAGTCGCTCGACTCGGTCGAGACCAAGACGCCGACGCGGAGGGTAGCAATGGTGGGCAGTTCCTGGCCAAAGATGGAGAGGCCCTGGGTCGTGTTGTCGTGATAGTACGTGTCGTCGGGGGCCGGGGCCTCAAGACCCAGCGTTTTGCCAACGCGGACGGCGATGTCGTGGCTGATCCTGTTGAGTTGCACCATGACGTTCTGCTGCACTTCTCGAGTGAGCCCGCTTGTCTCAAACCGGATGGCGTCAACGAGGAATTGCTGTTCAATGGGGGTGATGGAGTTGAAGAACAGTCGAGGCTGGCTCCAGTGGTCCTGGAAAGTGCTGCTTCGGCGTCTCTCGAGAGCACCAGAAACTTGGCGGCCGGGAGCGGTGAAGAAGCCTTTGCCTTGAGTCCGGTTGGCCTGCTTGGGGAATCCCTTGTTCATCGAGTTGGGAATATCTACTGGCTGTCAGTGACTCGCTTGATACTCATGGTGCACAGTAACTCGTCAATCAATCGTAAACTTACAAGGAGCAGTGTTCTTGTGAATCAAGTTCTGCGCAGCACCATCTCTGTTGTTGTTGTGGATAGGAACAACGGGTCTGTTGATGGGAAGCTGTTCAAAGTTGGGACCGCCGTGTCTGTTAAGCTGAGTATCCAGATAGGAGAAAATACGACCTTGCAGCAAAGGATCGTCTGTGAAATCAACACCTCGCACAATGTGTCCAGGTTGATACTAAGCCTTGATTAGCGTCTTATACATGGATGACCACGTTGGCTTCTTGAAGCGTACCATAATTTGCTCCGTCTCAGCAAAGTAATTCGCCGGATTAGCATCGAGTCTGAGAATGCCGAGAGGCCGCAGGGGAGCAAGCTCCTCAGGGATAATCTTGGTAGGGTCAAGAACATCGAAGCCAAAGGCAAGAGCCTGATCCTCATTGATCATCTGGATATTGAGTTCCCACTCGGGGAAGTTGCCAGACGCAATGGCATCAAAGAGATCCTGTCTGTGGAAATCGGCGTTCTTGCCAGCAACGTGCTGCGCCTCGTCCCAGACCATGCTGGCTTTGCCCTGCTTAGTTTTCCAGTGCCATTTTACAAGCTTAGTGTCACCATTCTCATTCACGAGTCGAAAGGTGTGGACGCCGTGGCCGTCCTAAGATGCGTATTAGCCTTTACACAGAGCAAGCGCCGCGAGAGCGTGTGTTGTGTTGATGATTGGTAAACCTACCATGTGGCGAAAACTTCTAGGAATTCCATAACCAGCCATGGCCCAGAACAAGGTATGGAGAGTAGAGGTTTCCTGGGAGAAGAAGTCCCATGCCGTGTCGTGGGCAGTGGCCGCCTGTGGAATCTCGTTGTCCGATCGCGGCTTGACCGAGTGAACGAGATCAGGGAACTGGATTGCATCTTGGATGAAGAAAACCGGGACGTTGTTCCCGACAATGTCAAAGTTGCCCTCGTCGGTGTAGCTAATTATGTAGTGATTAGCATGCAATGGCCTTGTGCGCTGTCAAAGGGGGGACGGGAAGCTCACAGTCTGACTGCGAATCCGTGAACATCACGAGCAGTGTCCGCACTACCCCTGGAGCCGGCGACAGTAGAGAAGCGGACAAATACCGGTGTCTGCTTATCCTTGGCCCCCAAAAACGACGCAGCAGTGATGTTGCTAAAGTCCCCGTAGCTGGTAAACGTTCCATGGGCGCCGGCGCCTCGAGCATGGACTGCTCGTTCAGGAACCTGTACAAATACTTCGTTAACCAACTATCAAATATCTGACAGTCCCCGACGGTGTAAGCCACTTACTCTTTCGTGGTCAAAGTGCGTTATTTTTTGCCGGAATACGAAGTCCTCCAGCAAAGTTGGACCGCGCTCTCCAGCCTTTAGGCTGTTCTGGTCCTCAATAGGACCGCCCACATCAGAAGTAAGGAACACATCACCATCGTCAACTTCGTAGCCTTTGAGGTGTTCGCGAGAGTCGGGACGGCCTTCAGTCCTTGCAGCAAGGCGTCCCGGGTCGGCGTAGGGACACTGGGAAGAAGCTAAGCTGGCCAGCGCCAAAGAAATGGCTACTAAACGTGCTTGAACCATGTTGGTGTACTCCGTATAAGACAAGATGAGTAGTCACTAATAGCCTTTTCAACGAGACATGGCTCACCAGAAGTCGTGATGCAGAGCCGTGGTGGTGGCATGGGAGGCGGCCTAGGCTACTTATACATCCAAGACTAGCTCGTTTCTCGAAGTCTCATCACTCTGCATGATGGGAAATTGGCGATGAAGCTAAATGGTCAATGACGGAAGTGTCAAAGGTACCCGCAAGGGTCTGGGCTAGCTTTGAACTGATGCAGGACTCCAAGGGGACCCATGATGTGGAACCAAAGGGTTCGTGTAGATGAGTAGTATTGGAAGGTTGAAGGACGTTGCATTGTACTTTGCACGTATGTATGTCAAGACTCCCCTGGAATCCTCTTGGGAGAATCTCCCCACGTTGTGTGACGTTGAGTGCATTGAAGCACCCACATGGTTTATCAACAAGGCTCGGATGAGCAGGACAAGCTCCCAAGGTCTTGTCCATGTTTGCATGGGTGGTTTAGACTGACCGTCGATACAACTGAGTTCCGCATGAGCCACTTCGCTGCCTTTGGTCAGGCCAAGCCCGCCTTGCTTTTTCTCTCCAACGAGTTGGTTCGCCATCCGACGAGATTGCAGCGTGTAGAATTCCGCTTACCAGCGCCAGGTCGCTGCTCCTTTCCAATTCCAGGCCTTCATCATCCAGAAACTGCATGGCCCATGAACCTGGATCGGTTGGGATGGGATGGTTTGACCACCAGAAACATAACCGGCCTGATCTCCACGGCACTATCCCAAGCATTTGCCGGAGAGAGATTCGAATGTACATATCCAGAGCTCTCTCCAGTGTCGATCACTAATACGTTGAAACCCATTGGCTCGGTCATGGGGCCCACGTTGGAGACGGGATGAATGTCGACAGCGATAGGCCCGTGGCAGTTGCATAAAAACAGCCCCCATGGATGGAAGGACAATAACTCGGTATTGGCAATTAGCTCGCGGAGTAGAACTTGGCCGGTTGCTCCCTCGAGTCTGCGTGTATCAGTGGCGTTGCTGGCGTCTGAATCACACCACACTCACACCACCACTTCACCGAATGTCTGCCCGATCCAACGGTCAAACGGTCAAACGGCGTACAGACATCGCTTTCCCGCGCCCAGTCCCCGAGGCATCTCAAACTTAATCCTTAATCGCAGAGCCCCGATGCGCTATGGCGTACCTCTGGGCCCATGTGCCGCCGGGGCTGGCAAGATGCCAATGAGCCAAAGCCCTGCGGTACCGAGTCTAACGTAAAGTCAAACAATTTAGCTGCATGGTCGCATGGGACGCAAGATTGGCAAGGAGCCGTTTGGCCCATAAAAATGTGATTCAAGCCATGGCGGAAGGCGGTCCGGATGTTGTGCAAGGGACATTCCTACCAGTCAGGGACGAGATCCCCAGGGATATTGTCATATTGACAATGCCAATATTGCCAGCACGGTGAGTCGCAATCGATTTTGGCTGCATTGTTGGTCAGCACAACATGGACGGCAACGGCCAATAGCCGTCTTGTCAATTATGACGGCCTGATGGATGAAGAGCATCAAGGGCCACCAAGACGGGCCACGATGTTGCGAAGTGACAAATCACGGCAGATAGCAGAGATAGCCTCCGGGCCCATCCGTAAGCCACCTGCAGAAACCATCGCCACCACGTCAACTAGAGAGGACAGCCGTGATTAGGGCCGCACTACTCGTGTTGTTGTAGTACATGTCTATGTGCCACCGAGTGCTGATGACAAGGGTGAAGGCCGGGGAACTTTTCACCTCTCACCATGCCCGCGGGTCTTGGCTACCTGCGAGACCAACATGATATATCCCTGTCTTGATGCCAGAAGATCGCACTGCCCAACTGGGACACCGTCGATTGTTGCGGGGGGTTCTCTTGGCTTTCCCATTGTGGCCGCCTATTCGCGAAGACCTGTGGGTGACGAGGCCACTATTGCTAAATTTAAAGCTTCCCAGAAGTTATGAGGAATACGTATTATGCAGTCCGTTACGCTTCGAACGTCCCTCTTTTCGACATGATCCAATATAGCTGGGTCTTTCAAGTGGTCCTCCGTCCTGCAGCCAACAGCCGATACAGCTCGCCAGGTCACACTACACACTCCGTTCCATGGCCCAGTTACGGTCAGGTATGATCTTCCATCTCGTCGGTCGCCTCGTGGCAACGTCGTCCAGGATTGCATAATGTACAGTGTGTGTCTTTGTTCCCCGGAATGAAGGTCAACCGGGAAGTAGTTTCAAGTCCATGTGCCTCTGGCGTCAATCGGCCACCAGCAAAACAGGAGAAAGCTGGCTTGCCTCGCCGGATATTACCAGAAAACTGTACTCCATACCCATTAGCCGGATTCCAAATCAGTCAACGCACAATAGTAGCTGCTTCGCTGCACAAGCCTCGTGGGCAGTTCGCCCGATGTAACCCACTGCCAGGACGAGCATCCGAACCAAAACACAGCACGGACGAAAGCAAGAGCCGCCCACGATGAGTAAAGCCCACGAACCTCGGTGGCGGTTCAGCTTGTTCTTCGAGAGGCAGAGCCAGGTCCGACCGCTGCTAGCTTGGTCAGGAAGCGCTTGATAGACGCAGAGTTTTGCGTTGTAAATATTGGGCAAAGATTTTCGGCGCCAATTGGAATGGAACTCAAAACTCAGTCCTTCACTTGGGCAGCAAAAAAAAAGGTAAAATAGAGAAATGTCAATTTTTGAATTCACATGTGGCACGGATAGCCCCAGGCAGGCAGGCCTCAAATACGCACAATGTACACCAGCGTCACATGATATGCAATGACAACTTCGACAGAGGAAAAAAAAAGAAAAGAAAATAAAACACACTAAAGAAGAAAGTAAAGAAAATATATGCAGAGGAATACAAGAGATTTCAGAGCTCAACCAGTAAAAAAGCAAGCAAAATTAAACCAAAATATGCCCAAACATCAGATCATACTCCCAATATCATGCAAACCAGCTCGACACCCTTCTCCTCTGCTCTTTCCACGCGGCAATTTTGTTAGCCAAGATAAATGTCAACCTCCTCCTTTGCCTCGACGTCCCAAGCCTTCTGCAAAATATGACCAATGCCTCTCCTATAAGCAACCCCCGATATTCTTTCAATCCACAACACATTGACAAACTGCACCACGCCGTCGTCGTCCATGCTCTCGGAAAACCTGTCCATTGGAAATACATACGAGCCCTTGCGCTCCATGGCACTCGAAATGGCAATAAACTCTAGCTTCTCCTCGCCACCGTAGTTGGATGACTGCACCCCCAGCCAGCCGTCATGGCTTCGCAGCTCTCCTATCCAGCGGTTGGACCGACTAAAGATGTTGCCAATGGCCACTGGAGGGTTCGGCATGTCCTTGGGCGCCATGGAGATGGCGTAATCGACGTCGAAGAATGCAGTCGTTGTTCGGAAATAGAGCAGCGGCCCAGGTATGCTTAGCTCCGTAGGTCGCGACTCGTATAGGCCGTCCTCGGGAACATCCTCCACTGGAACGGGGTACTTGAACAGGGTCAAGTCGTCGCTGTCGTGCTTGAAGTGGCTGCCGGACTTGGACCACCCCGGAGGCAGAGCCTGGCCGGCACCTTTGCGGGAGCGGAATTCGCGCATCCGCAAGCCCGTGTTATCAATGGGTGCGGAGTTTGCCCTGTCTGACAGACTCCAGGCTACCACTGTCTTGATGCGGAACGGGTGCGTCGGCTTAAATCTCTTGGACTCTTGCCCCCGTTTTACCGCCTGCGTTTCCTCGACATAGTCCGCCGCCGCCCTCCACAGGGTGAGGTCAACGGGAATACCGTCAAACCACCAGCCCATCCAGGACCATGACGGGAGGAAGGGCGGACGAGACATGGCGCGTCGTCGAATCGTCGCTTGGGGTCTCCAGAGCAGGGCAATGTCAATGAACATGAGAGGCATGCCGTAGGCGAAACCGCCTTGGAAAATGCGAGACAATACGTGCGTGACGCCAGCAAAGGCCCTGATTGAGTCGTCAACTATAGTGACCCTCCTCATACTATAGTCCATGGCCAGGCGAGCATATTCATCCATGTCGGGCCACTCTGTGTGTTGAAATGCGAATGCCGCCTCGGACAATCGATTCGTGCAGGCAGGCTTTTTACCACGAAGTATTTTGGTCATGTTTGCGGCATTTCCCTGCCATAGGTCGCAGTGGCATTCCCAGGTGACGGCATCTTCAAAGAAGAAAACTGCTCGTCTCGAATAGACAAGCTCCTGCAGTGTCCAGCCCCTCGTGTTCCATTTTGACGACAGCAGCAAGCCATTATGGTCTGGGTTTCCCTGCCTGGGGGCCCGAGAAGGCCGGCGCGGATCCAGGGGAAGCAGGCCTGTGTGAACGTCGCCGTACGCGGAAATAATGGTCAGACAGGCGTTGGCAAACACATAGGCCATGTGTTCAATGTGCTCGGACTTGTCCTGTTCATCATCCTGGACTATGCACATGCGATCGACCCAGAGATAGCGTATCCCAAGCTTTTTAGAGAGCCACATGGCATCGAGGATGGTTTGCGGTACGCCCTTGTCAGGCAGGCTGAGCTGGTAGGCATCGAGGTTGGTGGTCAACAGCTGGGCGGCGGCGTCGGAGCCGGTGTCTCGCGGGTTCGAGACTCCCCAAACATAGCTGAGGGCCGAGTATCTGTCGGCGGGCTTGGAGCGGACCAAGCAGCGTTCATCGCAATCTATCAGGTGAATCGGGCGCCAGGTCGGGGCGTCACGGCTGTCCGTGCCGCTGCAGTGCCTGCCGTGCTGGGTATTGCATGTGCTGAGCCATTCGCGAATGCGCGGGATGGGAGACTGCCTGGCCGAGGCCGAGGCGGATGCCGATGCCGATGTCGATGCCGATGTCGATGTGCGACGCTGCACGGCAGCAGATGTTTCCTTGCGGGCTTGGTTGAGGGAACCGAGGATGCGGTCTGTGATGCTCAGACGTTTGCTGTGCTGCGACGGGTCGCGATCTCGCTCGCGGTCTCGGTCTCGGTCTCGGTCACGATCACGATCCCGCGCCCGGTCGCGCTGCGGGGAGTGAGCCGGCTCAGGCATGGCTGGTGACCTGGGAGAATGCGCGCGCGCGCGAGGGAATCATCACAGGCTGGCGGCAAACAATGGCAATATGCATGTTTGTCGTGTGCCATGGCCCAAGCAACGGCAAGGAGGCGGCGTCATGGTGCGGATGGTGCGGGTGCTGCGCCGAAGCTGCCTGGCGTCATGAGCTTTCAGGTCCAGTCAGCCGCAGCAACCAGACAGGACTGGAGCCCAAAACAGCTTGCATGTGAGGTCAGGCACCGGCTGGTGCCGGACTACAGTGGGTGTACAGTGCTAGTCTGGTAGCAGTCGGCAATAGAAATCACTGCCACAGCGGAGCTCGGGCGCCATGGAATATTCGAGGGCGCCAGACATGAGCAGACACTGGCCCGTCCTGTCGACTAGCTCCCGTCAACGCGAACAAGGCTCTCCTTCTGCGACGAGCCTCTGATTGGCTATTAGCCTATATTGCACCATCTACACTGGAGACGGACTAGCAACGGCCTTGCCAACAAAAAACAAAAAAGGCGCTGGTGTTGCTGTTGCCAAACATTTCAACGTGTTTACAGAGGGTCATTTATTAACAAGGTTACAATAGTCTACATGGAGTAACCCTTAAACATTAAAGCCCAACAGACATCAGCGGTGGAAGAATAGGGCATCAACAAAGGTGAAAAACGTGTCTTCCTTGTCCAATTGGACAACCTCTCGTACTGTGGTCTCGCCTGTCGTGGCATTATCGAATGATTCTCCTCCATCAACCCAGCTTGATATGATTCAGCAAGCATGTGGAGAACGGCTTCTTCGTTGGGTGCTATGTAACTACATAAGGCATCAGTGTTGGATTAGGAAAGTTTGGTAGAATCGAGTCTGCTTTTTTGCCCACAGAGGTGTAGTGGTGACATCATACATGTCGGCATCGACATCGGCCCCAGCGTCCAGGAAGACATGTCAGCACTAGGACCTTGTCACAGCTAGCTGCGTAGCAAGACGTCGCGTCGCCGGCGTGAACAGCGGTGACTGTGGATTTGGCAACCTGCACATGTGGTCTTCCAGGTTGATGAACACTCTGCGATATGCTTGGAAGCGGTGTTTGCTTGAGATTGGAGTTTGGTGCGTCTACGGAGTACCGGTACGTGCAATGAGTTTTTACTACACCCACTGTACATACTAGTGTCCAGGCCGGTACGTGCCCGAGTTCGCCGCATCCAGATCCCCGCGCCGTTATGATTTGAACGTTGACGTCTCTGTCCAGTCTTGTCAATACCCGATGCGCTATTGGCTCTGCCTCGCAAATGTGACATATGCGCAACTTCTCAGCATAAAAAATCATCATAGCCAAATAACATGTAATACTAGATTACTTAGCACGTCTCGTAAAAGGGAAAATATTCTTCTGTCCCAATCCAAATCCACCGCGTCAGTCCGACAGCTCCGATGCCCTCAAGCTGCCTCGCATCGACGGGCGCACAGTGGAGACACCAACGCCCAAGCCATCAACCGTTGATCCTTATGTAGTCTGGTGCCCTTCAAGTGCTAACGCCTGGCACCTGACATCATCACCACCATCATCACCATTTCTTGTCCACGTGCAGCTTCCAAATCGCTGGTGGTCATGTATACGACCTAGCTGCCCAGGTAGCCTCATCCTCCTCATACGTCGGGACTCCGAATTCCGACCACCGGCTCGTCTCCCCCTAAACCGCCACTTGCGCTTTCGACACCATCGCCAGACACAGACAGCATCACCTCAAGTCAACCATGGATCGTTCACGACCCATCGGCCGCTCCCAAGCAGAGGAGTATGAGCCTCTCGCAACCTCGGACGACGCGGCGCTGGAGTCGTCCGCCATCCTCCGCGACACCGACTTGATTCCCTTCTCATGGATCGAATACAGCATCTTTGGCATCCTCGGCGTCGCCATGTTATGGGCCTGGTATGCCCTCTCTGTCCCTACCTTGAACCGCAATCGCAATCGCAATCGCTAACCACGACCAACAGGAACATGTTCCTCGCCGCGGCGCCCTACTTCTCCTCGCGCTTCGCCGCGTCGCCCTCCATCCAAAGCACGTTCCAATCCGCCATCCTCACCGTCTCGACAATCACCAACCTCTCGGTGCTCCTCATCCTCAGCAACATCCAATACTCGGCCTCGTACCCATTCCGCATCAACCTCGCCCTCATAATCAGCACCGTCGTCTTCGCACTCCTCACATGCTCCACGACCTTGTTCCTCGGCGCCAGCCCCAGCGCATACTTCGCCTTCCTCCTCGTAATGGTCGCCCTGTCGTCCTGGGCGACGGGGCTCATACAAAACGGCGCCTTCGCATTCGCCGCCAGCTTCGGAAGGCCCGAGTACATGCAGGCCCTCATGGCGGGCCAAGGCGTGTCGGGGGTTCTGCCGGCCGTAGCACAAGTCTCGTCCGTGTTGCTGTTCCCTCCCGACAGGAGCGCAGCAGGCGACGCCGCGAGCGGAGGCGAGACGTCCGCCTTTTTCTACTTCCTCGCCGCGGTGGTGATTTCCGTCGTCACGTTCGTCGCCCTCGTCCCTCTTGTCCGACGGCACAATCGCCGCGTCGAAGACAAAATGGTGCAGCGCATGGCCGAGTCCATCAACAGCATCGAGGAGGCGGAGCGCGCCGCCAGAAAAGTCGTGTCCCTGTGGACGCTCTTCTTCAAGCTGCGCTGGCTGGCTGTCGGGGTGGCAGTCACCTTTGCCGTCACCATGTTCTTCCCCGTGTTTACCGCCAAGATCCACTCCGTCCAGGAGGGCGCGGGTGCCATATTCCGGCCGGCGGCGTTTATTCCTCTCGGCTTCGTGTTTTGGAACTTGGGTGACTTGGGTGGACGCATTGCCACCGCGATGCCGTTTACGCTCAAAGACCGGCCGTTTGTCTTGTTCCTGTGCTCTGTCGCACGGGTCGCCTTCTTGCCGCTGTACCTCTTGTGTAACATTGGTGGGCGGGGTGCCGTCGTGTCAAGTGACTTCTTTTATCTCTTTGTTGTACAGCTCACCTTTGGCCTCACCAATGGTTGGCTGGGCTCGAGCTTCATGATGGCCTCGGGGGAGTGGGTTGACGAGGGAGAGCGGGAAGCAACAGGCGGGTTCATGGGCTTGTGTCTCGTGATAGGTCTCACCGCGGGCAGCTTGCTGAGTTTCACCATTTCGGATATATGAAGCTGATGATGTACATATGACGTATTCATGGGATAAACGGGCGTTGGTTGATAATTTTAAAAATATTACGTGTATAAGAATATTTTTGTAGAAATAAGATTTGAGCAACCCGGAAAAATCTTTTTTTGAGCAGAAAAGAAGACGAAAAAAAAACCCCAGACCAGGAAAGGACCCCTATTTGCCGTCCACGCAGCCAAATTCCAATGCAAATGTTTCCCCCATCGCCATCAACGGGGAGGGGGGCCTCTGTGCAGTCTCCCAACGCCAAGCTAAGTCTGATAAGAGCCGAGTCTGATTATGATGCTACCCAACGCCTCATTCATGATGGATTGCCGTCCACGATGGAGGTCAGTGCGTACACTGACGCCTTGGTAATACAAATCCTGTTGAAGAAATTGACAGGGAAAATTATAAAACGCCTAGAATCAAGCAAAAGCTGCCCGTCTTCATGATGCCGACCTTTTACGCGCCGGTCTTGTGAAATCCGGCGCCTCCTTCTTATATGGTTCCAGAAGTCGCTTCAGGACGGCCGTGTTCGTCTGACATCTGTGAATCTTGGTCCCCGGGGGGGCCTGCAATGGAAAAGCATGCTGTTGCGGGTCAGTGGACCGATCTTCTTTGGAGTCGCGTATCTCGATGATGGCCATGTCCTTTTTGGACACTGTCGGCATGTGCTCGAGGAGGCAGAGCGTTGGCGGCCGGTAGAAGGTGCCATCGCAAAGGATCCATTCGGCTGTATAAAACCCCTTCTCGATGAGTTCTTCCTCGACGCCTCGCCACCGTTCAAATTTGACCTGGGGGTCCTTCCAATCAAAGTCGCCAAACCTAATCCGCACTGACGGCGTGCATTTGTGTATCTGGGCAAAGCATGTGCAGTCGCGGAGGGTCATGGCCAGGGGGAAGAATGGATCCGACGAGGCGGCATACAATGGACCGACCGTGTCGTGAATGTCCTGCTGCGCCTTCAAGTCGCGAATGGCGGGATGGGTTGGGATGGCCCCCAGGGCCTCCAAGTAAAACTCCTTGCTACCCTGGTTTTCAAGATGCGGGGCCATTCTGAACGGGGAGCGGACTGGCCAGGGGGAATCCGAGCTGATGAGAGCCAGAGGACATGGTTTCTGTTCTGGTCGTGCTTTATTCCTTGACAAGTCCTTGACGAGGTTGCGCAGCTCCATGGCGCACTGGCGGCATCTGATGGCGTTCTTTGGCGCAGAGGGGGACTGCGACAGCCACTTAGGCTTAAACTCGACGAGAGTACAAGTCTCTGGATCTGTAAATGGGTTTCGCGTCAGCTCATGAGAGATGGGCATGTGCAGGGGGGTTTGCCAAAGTCGTCATCCTACCTTGAGGTCGCATGTCCTCTACGAGGAACCCCAAGTCGGTCTCCCCGACATATGTCCCTTTGAACTTGTCCTTGCGGGTGTGGTCTATAGTTCTCAAAAGGTTGTTGAGCTCTTGGATGATGCCCGTCTTATGGAGCACAACCAGCTCCTGGTTTACTACGTGGTCGCCGAGGATGGGTTTGATTGTGGTCTGGAGGAACTGCTGCTGATAGACATAGTTGTAAGTCGGCGCAGCTCCGAGCGAGGGCACCTTGGCAACCCTCAAAAGATATCCTACCATGTCTTTAGCGCCATGTTGTTGCAGAGTGTTTTTCTATTTTTTTTTATCGTTCTTTTTTTCCTTTTCTTCCCTTTTCCTGTTTGAAGCAAAAAAGAAAAAAAAAAGAGAGAAAAAGAAAAAGAGCAAAGAAGGGTGTCGCCAACATCTCTCTCACCTTTAAGGTCACGGCCGGCACGATCGCGAGGCGGGACTTTTATCTCAAAGACGGCATTGGCGGAACCTTCGCCGACCAGTTTTACAGGCTTGGTGCCAGAGGGAAGTCGCTTGAGGCATTGATGATGGTGCTGTCCCAAGCAGTTCATGGGACATGGTTCGCTGCCGAGGACCTTGAGGATGGCCATATCTTGGGGAGTCAACCAGCCACCGTCATGGTCACGGCCGGATTCATGGTCTTCTATAGCGTCAACGACGGAGCCATGGTTGGAAACGGGAGTCTGGGCGAGATCAGATGAGTTGTCATCGAAGCAAGGCTCGGCGGCGTCGCCTTGATTGGAAGCAGATTCTTCGCTGCTGGGCTGGGGTGGCACAAGATGCAAGGCCATGATTGGAGCCCCCGACCCTGCAGGATGCTGCAAGGCACTGCAACAACGGCGAGGGGGCACACTGCAGGGCTGGCTCAATGGCTCAATGGCTCGATAGAAGGCTCCAGACGTCCAAGGTCTCGTGGGCCGAGGACAAAGAGACGGCAGCTGCTGGGGGGGTGGTTTGGACTTGGGGGTTGCTCAAGGACCAGCTGAAGAGGGCATCGGACGGTGCGTCTTGCGAGGCCTCATGACGCGAATGGGGCGGTTGAGATGACGGGGGATGTCGAGATGTCGTCTGGCGGAGCAGCCGGTGAAGATGCGAAATAATATGAGGACGGAGAGTGGCGAGTGGACTGTACTCCGTACGCGCCGTGTATATGTACTTTTCACGTTGGATGCAAGGTTTACCTTTGTTACTCGATGGATGGTAAGCCAGGCCAGCTCTAAGTTATAGAGCACTTGACTAACGAGTCAACGGTCCGATGTCCGGTCATTCAAGCCACTTGCACGAGAAAGTGGCTACATGTACCGACAGATGTAGGCCATTGTGCCCGAGTGCAAGTGGACGGGGTTGGTTCAGTTGGTTCAGTTGAGTCAACAGCTCCCTGTCCAACTAGAATGTTGGCTCTAGTCTCTGCTTGGTACTTACTACTAGATGTCAAGGTCCAGTCTGGTCAGTCTGGTCAGCTCAGTGGTTCTTGGCCAGCACCAAGTGACTTGGCTGGAGCAGACGCCGCCGAGACTTGGCTCGATTGAGCTTGAGCCTGAGCCCGGCCGCCCTGGCACCTGGCACCTGGCACCTGGCACTGGTCGATGCACTTGCGACCAGACTTGACGAGGCAGCCTCCAGTGCTGGTCACTCACTCAGTCACTCAGCCAGGCACCAGACACCAGCAGCATACAGTGGCGTCCACGTCCCTGCAGATGATAGTACATCGTTGCCAAGTCCAGTCCAGTCCTCCTTTCCGGCTGATGCGTCGACCAGTTCGTGCATCCGCGCCTCTGCGCCTCTGGCCATGTCTCGTATTTTGACGGCTGCGTTCTGGATGCATCAAATGCACGTCAATGGCCAGCTGTTGGCTGCGTGCCAAGTGCCAGAAAGCCAGAACCCAGCAAGAAGCGGTCTGGGGTGCTCCGTACTTAAGTATGTATGTACATGCACACCGTCGACACATACATACAACACAGCCAAGGGGAGGGGGGACCAAGGTTATCAGTGGTGGTTGCTAACACCAGACGTACTAATGTTAGCATCGCGTTTGTGCGTAGTTGTGTGGAGAGTACTTGGGTGATGGATGATGTATCATAAGTAGACGACGGACGACGGATGATTGTACTACTAGTAGTAGTAGTAGTAGACACCGAGGACGGAGCACATTGACTTGAGCAATCAATTGAGGAGCGGCGCCAGTTGTCTCGGCATCCACCCGTTAATTGATTGATCTGGAGCCAATCTAACAGTTTGATAAGTTGGGCACGGCGTGCAGGCTGGAAATTTTGAATGCATACCGAGAGGCCTTGTCCACCACAAAGAAACGTACATGACCAGACATGAGCCCCTGAGGCAACACAAAGGGCTGTTTATTATTGGTGTTTTTATTATCATTATTTTTGGCCGACGTTGCACAGCTTTCCTCGGCACAAGTCCTGGTTCCACCGAGTCATATACTAGTATTAATCCATCTCGATGCAGCACAACGCCAACACTGCCCTGGGGCGCCTTGAAGCACGTGAAAGGGTATTGGCTGGTTGCCATAGAGCGCAAATATCCCGCCAACATGTCACTCGGCTTTCTTCCACTACTGTGTTGGGCTGGAACATTAAAGGCACAGGTGTAGATGGTATACCTTGTAGGGTTGGCGAGACGGCTACTCCGTAGATCTGTCGTTGTCTACCGTCCTGCTGCAAGCCCGGCTCGCCGATGCGACTCAAGTGATGTCATAAATATAAAGGCCGCCGCTGGGTTTGGGGAGGTTTGCTTGAGCGTCGTGGAGGAGCAGGCGATTGGCAGACTCGGCCTTGGCTCTGCCTAGACATGGCTGGTCGTTCCCCAGAACTCCATGTCAGCTCATGTTTGGTTTGGCGACGGTGCATGCATGCATGGGCGGAAAGAAGGAAGCTCGAAAGAAATTTTAGAGCCTCCCGACGCCTTGGACCGCACCTGAGGCGTCCAAGGTTGTACTCCGTACCACCTGTATAAAATTTAAATTTACTAGTAGTAGTAATACGGAGTACTCCCGCAGAAAAAAAAAAGAAAGAGAAAAAAGGAAAAAAAGTCTCAGACCCAGCCAATCAAAGGGCTCTTGTCATGGGTTGGGCCTGTTTCGAAACTACTCCGTACGAGTACAAGAGGAACCTACGAAGCTGTCGCACAACTTGGCGCAATTGCTTGGTAACCAACGGAAAATCAACACAAGACCATGGCGTCTTGTCCAGCCGCATCCCACGTTAAACACGTTTTCTCTCAGCTGCGTCCATCTTTTCACACAAACCACTGACGCTGCCAGCTTTGGAACACAGGCGACTTTATTGTACTCGGCTATCTCGTGCGGGGGGGAAGAGGCTCGGCGAGGCTCGGAGGAGATGCATGCGTGTCTTGCGTAGCATCTGGCCAAGGAACCGAGAGCCAAGAGCACTGGCGACGGAGGAATGGAGCTTATGCAACCACTTGTGCTTACTCCGTCCAGCTGGCTATCGATAGTGGTTCCACGATAACGTGCATCACGCGAGCAGACGCCGCAAATGCTAACGACGCGATACCACCATCAGATGACGGAGCCACGCCTGCGCCGGAGCGCAAAAACAGCCGCCCAGGACGAGGAGAGTAATGGCAGAGGCGTGGTGGTGTGCCGTGGTTGGGTCACCAAGTTGGTTGCCAGCAACAACAACACCACGCGCTAGTGCGATGCGTGATGCGGAATGTCATACACTGGTACCAGACGCTGTGCAGAGCGTGGGTGAGGGAGCTGCAAATAAACACGAGCCCAGAGCTGTCCAGGTAGGCATGTACATAGGGCTGCGATGAACACGTTTGCTACCGCACTGGACGCGTTGACAAAGTCCATCTCCGAGACCCCTAGTCACGCTGCAAGGCCCAGCCAGGAGCATAACATCAATTCAATATAAATCAGCATCCAAGCATTATGCTCGCTGAACAACAATAGTACCTAGGCACTTGATGCAGGGGGGCTTTTGCCTTTGAGGAACCGCTCTCCACCCAGCATAAAGACGCTGACTTCCCGGTGTTGTTGTATTGCTTGATGATGGTACATGGAGTCATGGTCATGAACACGACGCGGACATATTGGTGCAATGGAGTCCAGAGTCCAGTTCCTTCCTCCATGTCTGCGCTCAACGCCGCTTAGTGGGGTTACCCCGGCAAGAGGCGCGCTGAACACTGCACAACCCATCAATCAAGGCGGGGGACCACACCAGATGTCAAGGTCCACCGTGCACGCAGTCTGGCTGACCTGAGGCCAAACGGCCCTTGCCAAGGCGCAAATATTTTTCCATATTGATTTTTCGGCAAAGTGACCCAGGCATGTGCTGCCGGCAAGCCGCGCCCGCTGCCATCGACTCTAAGATTCCCACCGCCCGATGGATGGTCGCGTCACAACGTTTGAACCTTCCAACCGTCCAAGTGCTCCCTCAACTCCTCGCGAGCTGAAGCGTCCTTCGCTCTCCGCCCACCGACTCCTATCGACCTTGAATACCTGCCCAGATATCGTCGTATTCTAATAAGCCCAGCGGACTGCCTCGCACCACCCACGCATCGCCCCGGGCTTGGTCTTTTGCCGAAACAGCCGCAACCGGTTTTGGTTTTGCGCCGCGCATCTCCCTGCCGCATGACTGCGAGACTGCCATCGCCATTTCAACATGGCCTTCAACTTCAACTGGTCGCCGCTTACTGCGGACGCTGAATTCTACCGTCGAGCCCGTGATTTGCTCACAACGGCCCTGAACAAATCCCCCAAGCCGCCCATCATCGTCGACGATATCCTCGTGAGCGAGTTTAACTTGGGCACTGTGCCGCCCGACCTGGAGATTCTCGAGATTGGCGACCTCGCCGAAGACCGATTTCGCGGCATATTCAAAATGTGCTATTCCGGCGATGCTTTCCTGACTTTGAAGACACGGGTTCAAGTACGTCGAATCACTTTGTTTCGCGCCGTTTGGTTTCTTTTTTTCCCGACTTTTTTTTTATGCCTCCGAGAATGCCCGGCTGCCTTCCGTTCCCCCACGCAAGACCATGCATCATCGTCACAAAACAATGACAAAAGCGACGACATCTATTGATCGCTGTTGCTGCAATACAAGAGCCGTTTTGTTTACCAGTGTAAAACGGTTTTGTACCCCTGATTCACGCCGTTTCGTGTGAGCCCCAAGCTCCAAAAAGTCTTTTGGCCGCGCCGGACAAAGCTGTCACAGCATCTGCGCCCCGGTTTCTGCATCCAGCTTCGCAGCATATTCTTGTCTCTCACAACAAACATCGCGCTTGGACGTCGCCGCAACGTCCTCGAGACGTGTGCGCGACTATCCCCCCAATTGAAATTAACCCTTACAAACATTTATGCGCAACACGCTCTGGTCGGGGGCGTCGCGTAATGCAAGGAAATGACCACGAATGACCAGGTGCCCCGTATCAGGGGTCCATCCCAGTCGATAGATTGCTCTGCTAACGAACGAGCTTCTAATTATAGGCGAATCCATTAAACACCTACCTCTTTTCCAAACCGTCCTTCACCTCGCCTCAGCCTCTGGCAGCCGCTTCGGGTCTTACTATTCCCCTCTCAATTACCTTGTCGGACATCCAACTCTCCGCTTTCATCATTCTGGTCTTCTCCAAGCAAAAGGGCCTGACCTTGGTGTTCCGAAATGACCCGCTCGAGTCTCTCAAGGTCTCGTCGACCTTTGATTCCATACAATTCGTTCGCGATTACTTGCAACGCACAATCGAGCAGCAGCTCCGCAACCTAATGATGGACGAGCTTCCCGCCATCATCCACAGACTCTCTCTGCAGCTGTGGTGCCCTGACCAGGCCAACAAGGGCACCGAGACACCAACGGAAGACGCTGATGTAAAGGGCGCCGACCCGTTTGCAAGTCCGCCCCTGGACCCCGTCGATGCGAATGGGAATCTTTTGGATTACAATACCGTTTCGGAGCTCACTTTGAACGGCGGTGGTGAGGTGCCATACTTGTTCTCGCAAAAGAACTTGCTTCGTCTAGCCGCATTGACGGATTCACATCGAACGCTGTCCCTCTTTACCCCAGGCATCAATGAGGTCGTTTTCCGCGCCTGGTCTGGTTTTGGTGACCGTTCCGAAGCTGCCAGCCCTCCTTTTGCCACTCCGAGTCTCGCCAGGACTTCATCATTCCCCACTGGAGGCAGCACCACCTATACATTCTCCGATTCAGGAAGCACAGCTCATGGATACTTGCCATCGAGACCATCCTTCGTGGGCTTGAATTCTGCCGCCAACGGCGTCGCCCACGGTGCCAACCACCGGTCAAGACCTGGTCGAAAGAAGAAGACCAGAGTCGTCAACCTTCGACGAGCCAAGTCGGAAGCCGGCTCCTCTGATGTCACTTCATCAGAGGACGTTTCCGAAACCGCCTCAGTCAACGTCCCATCATCAGAACCTGTCATGTCGACCTCCATCCCCGAGGAGCCCGCATCCGATGGAGCAAGGGTCGAAGGAGTGCCTACTGGCAAGGTTCGCTTCAGGCCTGCTCACAGTGAGCACGTCCTACCCATCCGCCAGGCCCTCATGTCCGACATATACAAGAAGAAACTCGAACAAATGGCCTCGACCCAGGAAGAGGTAAAAACCCCCGAGTCTCTCATCAATACTTATGGCATGATTACCGAAAAAGCCCCTTTCGACAAGAATGGCAACCCTATCCGCGACCAACAATCTCAAGCAAGCAACTCGTCCGACACGTCATCTGTCATCCTCGAACAGGCATGGATTATGAAGATGGCCGGCGAAATCGCCCGCCGTGTATACGACGAGAAGAACCGCCATCAAGGCATTTGGGAAGAAGGGGAGAGTGCTCCCCCTCCTGCCTATGAGGCTGCAACTCACTAAGCCAACCCAAACCAGATAATGCGGCATGCATGAAGTATACTTGTACATGGTTGCGTTTTTCGCTGAGACTAGCGTCTCTTACTCTCATTTACAATCTCCCAGCACTTTCCAATGTACAGGTGTTTGGGGAGCACTTTCCCTTGCGCCTTTATTCTTTCGGAAAACACAACACCATCGAAATTTACATATACCATGAGCGTTTCTGAGCGTTGTAATATTATTGGTTCCATGATTTAAGCCGTCATTTTTTATACTATTTCCCCCCTTTTTTTTGGATTCTTATACCCGTGGAGGAATCAGATGAAAGGAGAGGGTTGGGAATATTCGTTGAATCTCCCCCATCTTCTCTGGATCGAAATGACACGCTGTCCCAGGTGGACAGGCGGGTTAAAGGGTTGTGTTTCGATCGAATTTTTTTGGGCTGGGGCGGGTAATAAAATGGGATGGGATTCGTTGTGAGCGGAAATGGAGATATAAAGGGATGATATTTGGAGTTGGTGTAGGATTTACAATGGCAGAGAGGGGGACGCTCGGGTCGTGGTGATGTGATACCAAGACAAAGACTCCAATCTTGATACTATCAACTATTAATATGGGCCATCTGGCGTGCATTCTTGTGAATGTCTACCAAAGTTGTTAATGGGCCTAACTGTGGCCATTTGCGATCTAATCGCCAGTGTATTCCATCTACATGTGCCTGCGTCGTCTCGATTACTAGAGGTTGCAGAGATCATTTCTGAACTCCCTGTATCGTCTATACATTCTGCATATTAAGCAATGCGGACAGAGCAAGGACGATAACTCCCACGTCGTGGTGTTGTTATTCTTGCTGCGCGGACCTTATTCTGTCCATCCTTACATATTGAATGGGCTCCCGGGATAGTTCTTACATCCTTTATCCGGTGCGCCTAGTTCTCTCCCACAGCATTCGTGAATATACGACTGAGATTTGGCGCTGTGTGGATACCGTCGACCCTGGATGTATCTCTTGGTGGGCTTGGAAAAACATCTCCATCGAACGATGAGATAGCATCTACCCACAGGATGTGACTCGTTATCAAGACAATGGAATCGTGTGATGTAGGTCTCGGATCAACGCGTTTCCGAGCGAGATTCACTTTTTTGGAAGGCTCAGACATCTTTGGGTGTTTTTGAGCCCGAAATATCTGTTCCGTGTTCCCTCGGCAGGCATCGACGGCATGTCTTGCTGGGTTTCGCGCACTGAAGTTCATCGGCGTTTAGCCAGCGTCTGTCCCTTGCCCTCTAGGCAGGTTTCGCCGCCGCCGCCGCCGCCGCCTGATTCTCAGCCTTGAGCTTAGCCAGCAGTTCTTCCTTGGCCTTGAGCTCCGACAGGATTTGCGCGGCCATTTCCTCCGTCTTGGTCTGCGCCTCCTTAAGCTTTCGTACCTCGGCGGCTTCAGTCTCGCGACTAAACGGTTGTCCAGGCCGGTTGTGGTTCGGGATCATGGCTGTATGCTCCCACACCTCGCCGCTGTCGGGGGCCGGTAGCGGCGGTGGTGCACGGTTTTTGCCCTTTCCCTTTCCCTTGCCAGATGCTCCAGATGGCTTCCAGCCTTTGGGCACGGCCCCAGATGTCAGGATTTGGTAGAATGCTTCGTATGGTTCGTTGAAAAGCTGCTCCTCGTAGCTCCAGGACCGAACCTCTCCATTCTTGGTCACCATTGACTGCTTCTCCTCTTCGGTCCGGCCGAATGGATGGAGACGGAGATAGTGGTACATGGTCTGGGGTTTCTCGCCTGAGTCGTTGACGTAGTACAGCTTGATGGTGATGTCGAATTCACCCCATCCTGTCTCGTTGACTACAAAGGGCTTCCCCTGCTCACCCTCGATCACTGGGTTGGGTTGGTTAGCGTCTACTTCCATGGAGGGCTAGGTCTTCTTTGGCAACCACAGGTGGGCAAACCGTACTCCGCACGTAGTTGGGAATAGATTCGTGCAGCTTGAACTGAACTCGGCGTAGCCAGTACGTGATATCTGTGTCTTCCAGGCCTTTCACAAACACCTGCCATGAATGCGTATGGTTGTCTGGCGTGCCGGGCGGCTTGGGGTTTGTCTCGGAGAAGGGAATGGCAGTGGTGCCGACGATAAAAGGCCGTCTCACCTGCGTCAACTTGACGCGTTTACCGAGCTGATTCGAAGGGGCCATGGTGGCGGGCGGCGGAGAAAATTGGCAAGCACAGAGCAATCGACGGTTCAATTGATGATGGATGTGCTTCGGCCGTCAGACTTGATGCGCCTTATGGTGGTGGTGCGGAATGTTTAAGTTGCGACGGGCAGATAAAAAAAAATTAAGGAATAAACATTGCCTGATGGAGTCTGTCAGCCTTGTGAGCTAATATTAGTCTATGGCATCCAGCCAATCCCGTCGCCACAGTGGCACAGGACGCCCATGGCTGGGAATAATACTCCAGCTTAACACAATACGCAGTAATCGTCCGCTGTCAAATCAAACTGATGTTCAAATCCTTCATTTCACTGATAAGGTATTAAGAAAAATTTCAGGCCATTGATTTTGTGAATTACGCATCAACCTGCTGCGCGTTAAACTTGCATGGCATGTGTGTCACTCTGCGAACTGGACCCCAAACTGGACCCCAGGGCAAAGCTCCCAGTCATCCCTGCACAAGCTGGGGCGTCAACGTATGATCTCATGACTTTTTATACCAAGCGCCATCCTCGAATCCTGAAGCTTTTCATCCAAACCATAGCTTCACCCGGCTCAATCGTTTCCTTTCTTCTCCCAATTCACTCAACAAGGTGTGATCCAGCTGCCAGCAAGCTCGACATCCCCCCAAAGTGAACACAAGAATCCATCCAAGCTCCCCGAACACAGCTCCGACAGCCGAAGCGTCCCTCATCAAACCATGGCGGCCGCAGCAACGAGGCTCGTCGTCTGCGGCGGAAGCGGCTTCCTAGGTTCCCGTATCTGCAAGTACGCCGTCGCCCGAGGATGGGAAGTCACATCAATAAGGTAAATCGGCCCCCCTTCCCCCTAAGCTTCCGTTCATTGACATGCCCTTCCCTTCCTTTCAGTCGATCAGGCGAGCCAAAATGGGACTCGGTCACCTCGTCGCCTCTCCCACCATCCTGGTCACACAAGGTCTCGTGGGAACGCGGCGACATCCTCCGCCCCGTGACGTACGCGCCGCTGCTCAAGGGCGCAGACTATGTCGTACACAGCATGGGCATCCTCCTCGAGGCAGACTACAAGGGCATCGTCTCCGGGAAGGAGTCGCCGCTCACCGGCCTGCAAAAGATGTTCTCCCCAGTCCGTGAGCGTGGCACCAACCCGCTGGATAAAAAGGCCGGCGAGGACATCAAGCCGCCTAATCCCACCGACCAGTTCTCCTACGAGGTCATGAACCGCGATAGTGCCGTCGCCCTGGCCAAGCATGCCGCGGCGGAAAAGGCCAGCGCCTTTTGCTTCATTTCCGCCGCTGGAGGTGCGCCCATCATGCCCCCGCGGTACATCTCCACCAAGAGACAGGCCGAAGTTGCCATTGCGACGAATTTCCCCGAGATGCGTGGTGTCTTTGTGCGGCCGCCATTCATGTATGACAGCTCGCGCAAGATCACCATGGGTATGGCTGCCATGGCTGGCGCAGGCACACTGTTCACGAGAATGACGGGAAATTACTTGAAAGATTTCATGGGCGCTGCTGGCACAAAACCGCTCCAGGTTGACACGGTTGCAGAGGCGGTCGTGGAGGCACTCAGTGACGAGACAGTCAAGGGACCCGTCGAGGTTCCTCAGATTGAGGAGCTAGCGAATAAGGGATGGCGGAAGACTATGTTGTAAGATTGTGTGCCCAAAAATGCACAAGGTGAAGCTCTTTAGACTGTACAATAAAAATCCAACGCCACAATATGCACCGGGTATTAGAAAAACCATTGCTTTAACCCATCTTTATAAACTCCGTCATGACTTGCGCTTCTCATAACCAATCACTCATAGCCCCCCGAATGCATCGTACCCACAACAGAATCGTGACGTCGTGCCATGATTGTCTGTCTCGCAACCATGTCAAACGACATTCTTGCAGTCCTGCCTGCACCCTCCGCCTCATTCAAATCATGGTGCCTCTCTCGAAGCTGTCCCGGATATCGGCAGTGTACTTGTCGTAGAACCTTGCCAGTTTCTGGTTGAACTGCTTGTTCTTCTCGTTGATGTATGTGACATCTCCGTCGTCGCCATTCTTGGCCATGCGCTCCTTTCTCTTCTTGAGTCTCTGCTCTTCGGCCCGTCGCAGATCGGCAACCAGGCGGTCCACCGCCGCCTTATCGGGCTTGTTCTGCGTGAGGGTAGCCGTGTCGGCTGTGGAATATAATGACCCGTCTTTGTCGACGGCAATGAGCTCGCCATCTTCGGTCTCGACAATTTCCAAACCCCCTGAAGCGGCTGCCTTTTCAATTGCTGCCATCTTCTGCTTTTCATATTGCTCCATGTCGGGAGTGATGTTCTTGAGCTGACGCTTGTAAATCTTGTTGCTCTCCTGTTGGGGGTCGCTAAAGGCGTTGTTGTCACGATGCGCAGCCTTTTTCTTCATTCGCTTGTCCCACTTCTCGCTCTCGTCAACCGTCCAGTCCCACGCCCGCTTGCGCTCAAAATCTTTGCCGGATTCTTCGATCTCCGCCTTGACAAGCTTGTGCGCTGCGATGTCCTGCTTGCGCTTCAGGGCTGTGAGTTGGCTCTGATCTGTGCCCAGTCTCTGGGATTCCTTTGTAGCTTCGTCGCGGTTTGTTGCGGAGGACGTTTTTGCTCGCGCCTGGAGGGCCTTGAAGCGGGCCATGCGATCTTCAGCTGGCGCCATCTCGAGACCTGGTTCGTGTAGACGGTTGTTTGAAGATGTGCGTGTTTGCGTGTGTGTAACGGTGCTCGAGAAGATGTTGTAGGAATTAACGCTTTTTTTTTTTCTGGGTGCTGTTTGAGTAGAGACTATGCGCAGAGAAGGTGCTCGCTGATGCTGGCTTCAGGGTGAGTGTAGAAAGAGGACACAACAGTGGATAGGATGACAGAATTGCCCTGACATTTCTGGAGGGGAGCACTGACAAGTACTAATGCCCGCTATACCATTTTAGGCTTCAAGTCCCATTTTTCACGTGCTGAAAGTCTAAACTTGCAGTATCCGCTGCAAAATGCACTGACGAGTCACGACATTGGAGCCCAGAAATACTAGCCTGTAAATGAAGATGCAATTAAGTTATGCTTTGTCGCAACATAAATTATAGTGCTGCTTGGTTGCATTCGACGCGACTTCAGGGTCTCTGGGCGAGCTCTAATTTCAATCTACTTAGTTGAGTTTATATCTAAACCCTCTTACATACAATGGGAGTAATCTCATGGCGTGAAGCATAAACACCGGGCCTGTGTAATCGAGCGCCAAAAAGTCAACCAACCAGTTGACCTTTGAGATGCACCGGATTGACCAGACAAGACCAGACAACATCTGTGAACGGCGCCTCGCTACTAGTGCTCTACGCGAGAGTCTCCAGGGGCGGATCCACTAGATCTTGGGGTTGGCATCCCCTGAGGATCCCCTGGCGGAACCCCAGGTCTTCAATTGATGTTCGATCCCGTGTGGGGTGGCGTGTCAAAATCATGTCATCCCACGACCTCACTCCGAGCAACCTCGAGCACAGCGAGATGCCACGTTCGAGCTTCAAGCCGAAGCATCCCATCCCCCCGAACCATATGGCATCCAGCCCATGAGCAACACCAACTCCACGCACCAAAAAAGATGATACGCTCAGCAGCGCGGCTCTTCCAAGCCGACCTCAGCGTGGCACCACACTTACTCCGACCCAAAACTTTTGTGAAAAAAATTGGCAAGAACAATGAGATCTACTACACCCTAGTGAAGAAGGGGCTTGCGCATAACCTTGATCCGGAAAAGGAGTATAAATTCTTTGAAATGCCGAATTTACTGCTGGATCTCGATGCAGAGGGCACACGGCACGTGCGGTCCGTTGAGGACACTGATGAGAAGCTAATGACGGCCAGATGGGCAGAAGTGCCCAGACGAAGGGCAGTGCAGACTCGATCAAGGGCGTTCGAAGAACAACTTTACGAATCACGGGGGAAAGCACGCGAGATCATGTCACAGCCCACCAATCTTTGGCGCATTACTTCGCACGATATCGTCTCCGCTGCGCTTCATGGAGGTCCTGGCCCCCAGAGGAAATCGGCTCGGGAATTAACACCGGCAGACGTGATATCTGGATCAAGCAGCGCACCAACACCGTCCAGAAACTCGGGAATCATCGAAAAGCTCCTCCTGGAAAACGGCATACCTCAGCACGCCGTCAACGAGGACCAGCTCCTCCTTCGCTGGATGACCCTCCGCTACAACAGCCTCACCCAGTCATCCCCATATCACAGACGAACAGCGCCCTCACCAGAACAACTCAAACGAGCTCTTCAAACCCAAACGACTATTCTGGGCGCGCGTAGACTGGTCTTCCAGGCACTCTCGGCCGGCACCAGCATAAACAGCTTCCAGAATGAGACTAAGCCGGCAATAAGTCTGCCTCACCAGATACGCTCTACATGCGCCTACATCTTGAGTCAAGATCCGCGCGATCGAGATTTGTATCTCCAGGCGCTCACATTCCTCGGAAACCTCTCTGAGCGACTTTCTTCCCTCGATGCGCAGCTAGGGCCCATCTTGTGCGGGCTGGCGTTGAAGCTTTCTGCAGAGATTGGTTCCCTAGAAGCGTTACCAGTCTGGCTCTATCGCAGCCACCACACCTGCAGCAACGGCAAGCTGCTCATGAAAGATGTATTGTCAGCACTCACCTCTTTGCAGAGAACACTGAGGAGCAAACGCCCCGTGAACCTGCAGACCATTGAGCAACGCCAGCTTCTGTTCCAATTACTTACAGGCATCGACGAAAATGACACGATGGCCAAAGACTCTTTCAGGACATTTGGTACGACTTTCCTCGAGGGGGACAGCTCAAGCACGGCCAGGCGCGCATACTCTGCCTACATTGCACTGCTGGGACAGCTTGGCGCAGCACGAACACTGTGGCGGGAATGGCGAGAGCTGCCCTCTTCTGTTTCAAGAGACGAGGCCGTCGTGCTCGGCTTTTGCAACGCCCTGAAACAGGCAGTCCGTGTCATGCCCGGCTCTGATGGCGAGTACACACCGGATTCTAGCCTCGCTGCGTGCGCCGCGCTAGATTATCACGCCATTGGGATGCAGGATACTGCTGCTTGGCGAGCACGCATCTCCAGTAACATGGCTGGGCAAGCAAATGTCAATGTTGCAGCGTGTCGGGCTATTTTGGACCTGCCTCTCGCCGATTGTATCAAGGGATTTGGAGCATTGTAGGCTTTGCCAAGAATTGAGCCTAAATGGCGGGACGGAAGGGGTTGCATTGCAAAAAGCCCCATCTCGAAGAGGAGAGTAGCCAGGCTCGTGATTTACATACATGTTGACGTGCATTCCCGGCGTCAGATGCCGGCATTTGCGTCGTAAGCGAGTGGGAAGGACGGGGTGAGGTTGGAAATGGCTCTCTGTAATGGTACTAGACATGTAGATATCGCGCCGGAAGCCAAGATTTGTACATTGTGGCGTATCAGTTTTGTCTCCTGGGTCTGATATTCGTTATACTGTGCATGTGTTAAGCCATGAGCCAGATTTTATTCTCCGTTTGGTCAGGCGAAGTGAGATTCTACTAGTCAGGGCTCGAGTTAGAGTTACCGCGGCGTCGAACTCAGAGTCTACAAGGAGTTGGCGGCTCGGATCGGAGACTTGCCGCATATACGATTCCCGGTATCGGCTCGTAACGAGAGCTCTCGATTCTCTTCATCCATATGACCAGACGTTTGTTTATTTCTGGGTCACAATCGGGCAGGTAGCTCATCCGTGAGCCGAATCCACCTCTCGGTATTGTACATGCATTCAAACCCCCACGGCTGTCTGGTTAGTTTGCACCAATGATAGCCATCCATGGTCAGGCAACGCAAGCGGCATTCACTAGATGTGTCGGAAATTTGTTACTCAAGTGCCGTGCCCTACGCGATGAGCAGGCCTATAGGCTATAGCTGCATTTCTGTGTTTTGTCGTCGTAATGTTTCAGCAAGTCGGCAGATGTCCTGAACTAGACATGTCTCGCTTCCAAGTTGGGGGGGTTTCGCGGTCCAACCGACAGGCAACAGAGGTCGTTTTGTGAGCTGTGCCGCGTCTATCCATTTTTCACGAACAAACTGTTACGTTTGAGAGGGTCCAATGCGCTGGATCGCGGACCATAATCCGAGCCCTCAAACAGAGTCGGTCCATGGGCTTCTTTACAACTTCGGACCTAGTCCGGCTCTCTCTGCGAGGGGGGATCGGTTGATAGTCAAGTTCGAGTTCAGGTGAGGTTTGACGCTCGTTTGTCCATGGCTGAATTATGGATACGCATGGTCAACCGAGGCGGCGTAAACTAGGTTTGGGTCAATTCTGCAGCTTCCAAGTTTACGGGTTCCGCAGGCCTCGCTGGCGCTGAGGAAGTCGGGTATTTTTCTGGCAAGGGTACCCAGGTAATCATCCAAAGGTTTCCAAAGGTTCAGTGTTCTGGACGTTCTAGGCGCTTGTCTAATGCAATGGATGGCGGGTGTGTTGGCTGTGTTGGCTGTAGGTCATAAGTCATGGCCTGCAGGGTGCAGTCGAGCCGGATTGCCATTCTAGGTGCAACGTCTGTGCCATTCATCATGATACGCATATTGTACGATGCCGATTTAGGCGACGGCGAGAGTTGCGAAACAAGATGCTCGGCACGCCTGAACATGCAGATGGAGTCAACCGTGTTCAGTACGCCGTTGGTCTTGGAGCCAGGCTTTGGAGCAAGGCAAGTCTGGAGATGTTCATGTCCACCAAGTGCCAAGCTTGGCTTGCAACGGATCCCTCGCCAGAGCTGAGCCCTGTTTGAGGCAGGAGTGATCGAGACGTTGTAATGGTTGCACTAGCTTGAACTGCGGGGGAGACGTGCAACATCCAACGATTTCACCTGGAGGCAAAGGGAGGCAAATGAGAATGGCTTCAAGAAGACGAAGAAGGAGAAGAAAAATTTTTCCATTTACTAGTTTTTCGCAAGGGTGCTCCGTAGTTGGGCAACGTTGAACGGGGTGAGACAGGCGACTGGTTAATAAGTGCGCCAAAGGGAGCGCAGGCGCTAGATGACGCGAGTGCCCAACGCTAAGGCCATCAGATTGATAAAAGCTAGACGCGAGGAGTTGGCATAACCAGCACAAGGGTCAGTCAGTCTGGTGCCTGTGGGCCGCAACAACCGCGTGCAACCTGGATGGACCTGTGACTGGTTGAGCAACAGAGGAGCCCATGAAACGACCAACCTTGCTGACTTCTACGGTGAGGCGGGAGACGGGCATTTATTTTATGGCCGATGGAGGCAAGCTACAAGATGAGCAGGGCCCATCATCCGAGCCGCTGTGGAGTTGTATTTTATTTTATTTTATTTTATTTTATTTTATTTATTGGCTCAGTTTAAACCCGCGTTGAAAAGAAGAGAGGCCAAGCAAGGTTGCGTCGATTTGTCTGTCCGAAAAAAAAACACCGTTTTCTGCTTCTTAGCGCCTGCATCCGGACACGGGCGTGTACCGAGGTGAAAAAAGCCTTTCTACGCATTAAAGTCTAAGCGTTTTAGCGTTTGATATTTCCGGGACAGAAAGTAAATTGCCGAGACGCGTGTTCCAGTCAATGCTAGGTGGGCAATGGGACACAAGAGGCCTTTGGGGTTATAGGCTTATAGCACAGCCTTGAACGGTGACGACAAGTATTCTGAAGTGGCCACCATCAATGCCAGGCAGGTACTCCGTACTCCATACACGCCAGAGGACGGCGTACTACCCTCGACGGCGGTCTTGGTTTATCCTTTCTGGAATCAATCTTCCGTTTCCATTGTCGGATAGATCGGGATGGATGGATGGGTGACAGAAACAGAATCAGGCCACCCGGGTGCATTGCATGTACCTCGCTCACATAAAAACTACGGGTCCGGTACCTCGGGACTGTGTCAAGTACTTAAGTACTCAGGTACTTGACTGCATGACGTTTGTGATTGGTGATTTGCACAGCTCTCCGTTTCAAAAACGGACAAGGTGGGAGCTTGATGTCCCATTAATTCCTCAATTCCGGGCACGTCGACACATGTACGGGATACTTGCTCATGCCAGTGCTCAATGCGATGCCTCGGGACTTGCGCATCGTGCCATGTAACATGTCAACCAGCATGTAGCATGTAGAGTAAAGGCAATTTGGCAGAGGTGGCAGGCCTCGAAAGCTTCGGCTCTGCACAAAGCCCACCGTGCTTGCATCAGTCTTGCGTGATACAGCGCAAGAATGGAGCCTTCAGAAGGACAGGCGAGTATACTCCGTATCGCGACCAGAGCTTGGCGACAGAAACGGAGTGAATGACGACACAGGCGACTGTGTAAAGTATGGAGTATCCAGGTACATACATCAAGCCGCGAGAATCTGTCAAGTCTATCCCAGGACCGAGGCATGGCGACCTACATGTATACTCTAGGTAGGTGGCAGTGAAGCCCTCTTTCCTCTCTCGTCCCGCCACTCCCCATCGTCCTTTTCCGTCGTTATTTGCCGGTTTTATTTACGCCTAATAGTCTTCTTCGTCTTGGTGACAATTCTTGCCAGTCAAACACCAGACGGTCAAGCAGCTACGCCGTGCAAAACGTGCCCTGCTCACTGGACGCCATGGGCCTGCAGCAGGCGATCCTCGGCGTAAATTATGCCATTCGGCCCACATACTCCGTACACATACATACAAGGCGTCCATACCACAGTCCAAGACGGCCCACGCTGATTGCATCGCGACGGTGAAGGCTTTGGGATGCCTGTGCCGCAGGGGGGCGGAGTGGATTTCACGAGGCCCATCAGTGTCGATGGCTGGACGCTCACACACTCGATGCAGCTGATGCAGTCGATGCAGCTGATTAGTCGAGGTCATATTCATCAATTGATGTCCAGAGGTCGACTGGCCTGGCGTCCGGGGTGCCGAGAGGCCTGTAGACGGACCACGAGGTGCTTTCGGCTGGCGCTAAATGGGGGATGTCAGGATGCTAACACAGGGAGCCTAGCGCCCTGCGTGTGCACCAAGATCCACCATGGTCTCTGAAGGCCCCCTCAAGTGCAGTGCCCAGCGCCCGCCTGCAAGGGCTGCGCGACACCCCGCCAGAAACGGACCGTGATAGATCGACGTGTAACGCCAGCGTTGGTCCAAGCCCATCGATGTCGACCAGACTCCATCTCTCCCACATTGTTGGGGTATGTCACTGTATGTGATTGTGGTCTGAGCTCAGGCGATATGTACATGCGATACTCCGTACTGCCGAGCATGATTCGACCTGGGCCCCCAGATGTCGGCTGGGCCATGTTTGCCCTGCACTGTACATGTATGTAAGTATGAATGCCCCTCTCGCCGTCGTATCAGAACAACAACAAATTGCACCCGACATTGCTTCAGGAAGAATCGGCTTGGTTCACCATTTTGTGCAAGACAACTGGGGCTTCAAATCTCAACACATGTTCATGCACAATGGCTAACTGGGCCGCTGATGAGCTGACAAGGGCAATCGACAGATGTACCTGTCCGGCCACCCCTAGTTGGAGCACTGGGCTCTGGCTGGCCGGCTGGCTGGCTGAAGAAGAAGCAGCATGTCAAGCTAGGTACGTATCCTGAGGTACTGCGTACAACACGCAACATTGGATGTGCCGGCCTGGAGGGCGCTGACGCAGCGTTAGTAGTTACATTCTGTGGTCGACTATGCACGCTGCATGTAGTGTGTACCTAATATACCAAGTGCACTACTTCTTGCTCCGTATTAAGGCATGGAGGAAAATTGGCCCAAGCCAAAGACCCACCGTCTGACAACCTGGGCAGTGAGTGAATGGCCCTTGGCCGCCTTCAATATTGGTCTTTTGCAAGCACCATGGGACTCGCATTTCGGCCAGGGTTGATCTATCTCTAGCAGGCGTGGTCTTTTTTTACCCTCCATGTCCCCATCTGCCTTGCCTCCCCCGTGTCTTTGTCCTCTGGATGCACGCCCTCGGTTCCTTGTCTCCCCACCTGGTCGCCGGGGGCTCTCCACCCCATAGTCGGTGCCTGGCATTGGCAGGGCATGGGTAAGTGAGCAAGTTGTCAAGTGCTGCCCTGGCGCTGACAGAGGTGAGGCGAGGCTCATTCTGTTGCTGGGCGGCGTCGGCGGCGTTTCAACAAACACAATTTACCATCCAATGTCCTGGATTGCGTGCTGTATGTACGGAGTATACTCAAAGTACGGAGGACGCCTTATCGAGTGTCGACTTCTTCTCGTTTGATGTCGTCGATGCTCATCCAATACCGACCCCCCGTCGTGCAACTACCGAGGTACCATCTTTAGAAGGCATTGTACGGAGTAAAATATTATAGCATCGACAATACTAGTGCATTCTCCTGCCTTGTTCAGGGTTACCTGGCATAGTCATGTACGCTTTTAGTTTAATGTACATGCAATACATACACTGCCCATGTGGGCAAGTACCAGTAGACATGATGGGTGTTTCATGACTTGGCGGTTCCTTCCCTTGTTGCATACCGTCTCGTACATATTGAGCCGGGCTCCCGAAGCCCGTCAAAACAATTTAGACCTCTTTTTTGGTTTTCTGCCCGCCAGACAGCTTCTGAAGTTGACGACGCCATATGACTTCGTTTCCTTTTCGCTAGCCCTCTTTTTTCAGTCTACAGCGTACCGGGCACGCACCGTTCGACTGCTTGGCCCGTCTCAGCCTCTGGCCATGGTCTCTGTCGTCCTCGTCGTCTAAGCCGAAAGAAAAGCAAGTAAAATAGATCGCCCTTATCACCATCCCCGCATTGTCAAGCGCACGGGATATTCTGTCTGTCTCACAGCCGCAAACTTGCATTGCAACTCGCTTTGCATAGCATACACGCGCCATTCATTCGGCAAAAAGTTATCCATCAGTCCCTGCCCGTACTCAGTACATACGAGTTATACGCCGTATTGTGTACAAGAGGACAACTCGGTGTAACTCACAGTATTATCCGAAACCGTACAGGCAACGGCGCCACGCATTATTTGTCCCAACATTTGACGAAACACGAGTCGATATTAACAAAACCTTCTCAAACCTGTCGCAATCGAATCGCCAAATCACATCCATAGCACGGACTCCGTCTGGTGTGTCGCATCCAGATTGGCCCCGTACTTGAGATACGTACCTGTTCCAATACCACCACCGAAACGTCGCTACGTGCCTCTGCCTTTGCTAGGGGCTCCGTATCTCTTCCCTTGTCCACGCAAGGCTTCGCAAGTCCCACAATCCAAACTTATTCGATCGTTTGTGGCTCCTGGTCTCCGTTCCTTAGTGCCGTCACCCTTTTGGCCCAAGACCCAAGACCCAAGACCCAAGACGCACGTTGGCAGCCCCAGCCCAGCAGAAGCAGACCCAGCAACATTGAACGTTGGAACCTGGCCAGCCGCCTCTGCCCGCCGGTTGCGTCTCCGCTCTCGGCTGTTGGTGAGCAAAGCAGATCACGACACCGGACCACCGAGCACGCACAGCCCTGCCGGGTCCAAACATAAACTCGAGGGAAGAGTCACACGCCAGCAAGACCCTTTTTTAAATTTGTTTATTTTCCTCCTCTGTTGCTTGCCGTTGTCATATAAGCCATCCCATCGACGGGTTCTCTCGAGACTTCCTGGCTTCACCCCCAACACAAACACCATCGCTATTAGCCATCCGTTGCTTCGACCGAGCTGCCGCTTTGGAGGAGCATTGCCCGACCTGATTCCTGGCCAGCACCCCCTCCAGCGCACAGAGGTACTATTTGGGAAACCCATTGCCCACCGCCGGCGCACAAGCAGCGCAATCACTTACACGTCGCGTTCGCTGGTGTAGCCCAGCACCTTATCTCGAGGGACGAATACATATCCCAGCCAAGCTTCATCTCACGTCTGTCTTATATCTCGCTATCGCAACCCTCTGTTCTAGCGTGATTTGCATGCCCGTTGGTCGCCTGCACATCTGGCTATCGGATTCAATTCGGGTGCCTTTATCCTTATCATCTGCCACGATAGGAACAACCCGGCCAAGCCAAACCCCCCGCGCATTTTCGGTGCTGACTTCGGTCGCCGTCTGCACTCGGGAGCATAGTTCGCTGCCCGCACACGTGGACGCCCAACATTTTGCTCCCACGGGTTACTTTCAGTTCAATTGACAGATATCAATTCTTGGGGGCGCAATCATTCGTGATAACGATTCTTGACTCCACCCTTTCCAGAAAGGTCGTTATCCCGCTTATCATCGACAGCAGTGGGCGCCTCTGTGCCACCATCAATCCGGCACCGGTGCCGCTGAAAGAGGCTTGCAGAGCCACATTGACGAATCAACTACACAACGAGACGGCTCCGGCCCTATCTCGACCATGCATCACCACCGCAGAAAGTCTGGCCATGCCCATAATACCTCCATGACTGACGTCCGAAAGTCTGTGACCGCTACTGATCCAACGTCCAAACACAAGAGACCCGGCATGACGAGACGTCATACTCCTGTGAATGCCCAGAAATTAGGCCGTAGCCATCGTGAGCGAGAACGGGAACACCAAGACGCCTGGGAGGATGAACGCGAAAGCTTTCCGCAATACTGGTAAGCACTCAAGAAACACCTGGCTTGGATCCCCAATACTAATTCACCTTGTGTGTATAGCATGACTTGTGAAAAGCAATTCGTACCTCACGACGAAAGACATCTCTATTGCTCGGAAACGTACGTATACAATCCACCTTTCCGCTACCGAAACTACCAATTCTGCCGAATCACCAACGCATACATGCTATTTCGCCCAGATTTTGGTGCTAACGTTGTCACACTCTAGCTGCCGACGTGTGGATCAACAAAACTCGTCTTCACACTCGTCGCAGATACGTGCGTATTCTGTCAGCAGCAATCCCTCGTATTATTCCCCAGGAAACCAAGAACCAAGGGACATCATACCGCGGGCTTCACCATCGCGGCCAAATTCGATGCACTTCAGCCAGTCGCCGCCGGCATCGCCAGGGACGATTCCAGCCTCTCATCACATCTCCGCCCTCTCTGCGCTGCGATCTCTCAACATTGGACCTCCTAGCCCTCCCTCTCCCACAGGGAGCAACGGCGGCAGCCTTTGGCCGTTTAGCCGAAGTGTTGCAACGAGTCCTGCAAGTTCTTATCGACGCCCTTCTGGCCCATATCTATCCTCGACATATGACACGGGTCACCACTATGCCCCCGGTGCGTACACGTACGACTCGGGCTCACACGGCTTGGACAGGCCTCTTCCAACCCGGCATCCTGGAGCGTACTCTCGGCCTAAGAGTATCGAATTGGTGACTCCGGTTCTAGGTCGGTAATGACTCGTGCTTGAAGATCTGCACGGGTGTCACCGTCCCGGAATGGGTTTCACCTCAGAACGACTCGGGCCAACAGTTCTAGCTGGCAAGCGATTGAGGAGCCGGGAATGGGAGCTGCGCTGGTCCGGGTGCATGGCCACCCACCTTGTACAGCGACTTGATCAATAATTGGCCGTCGCCATTTGCGGGGTTACAGGGGTCAAGATCTCAGTCCTCAGGGGCAAGGAATTCGAAGGGATCTTCCACCACCAGCCATTCCGCAAGCCTAGCACACGACCATGTGACCAAAAAGGCGCCCGATTCTGGCGTCTCACTCTCCCCCCAACTTGGACTTTCGGCATGGGTGATTTCTAGCGGTATAGCGACAATTTACTAGAATGAAGAAGACGAATTACAACTCAATAAGTTGACCAAGGGACTGAGCAGGAAGTTTGTCGCCACGCTCTGCATAGAGTCATAAACGTCGGGGGTCTCTTTCGTCTTGATTTCATCGGTTCATGATTCCCTGCAGGAGTGGGGCCACATTTTTCAATCTTAATCTAACTCGTTTTCTTTGTACCCATCCCAGGAGCGCGTGTTGTGGCGCCTTTGACCAGCTGTCAACTGGGCTGTTTTATTTACTCGGTATTGGAGCCTCATTTTGCGGGGTGGGGGGGTTTCTGTTGTGTCTGTTACAATACAGTACGGTTTCACAGGTTTTGGCTTGGTTTTGGTCAAAAAAAAAGTTACAGAGCAAATGATGATGACGAATGTTATGGGGATATTATTCTTGGTATAATCACGCATCTATAGATAACAACCAAAAAAGGCATCGTGTGCATTTAGGGAGCATTTGGAGACTGGTGGGGGATAATGTTACTGGAATGGGCCGGGTTATTGGAGTCGCTTAAAGTATGTTTGTATATATTTTTGATTGAATTGGACGGTGTGTTGGATGGAGCTCATGAGTGCTCATTGTATATAGTAATAGTGGCGGCAGGCGCGGAAAAGGTCACGAACGCCTCGAGCAGGCCCCCCTTGCAACCCCAGGTTTCATTTATTTGGTGCCAAGCCTCTTGAACTATTGAACTGTGGCAAGGTGCAAGGACGATGTGCCTGCCAGCCCTTCGTCCTTTTTCCTGGGACTTTGGCTCGCGTCGAAAAGCTCAGGCACGGAAAGGCGTCTCGGATTGGGGTTTGACGATTAGCGTAGCACATGGGACGAAGATGAGCTGGTAGCGTGGATACAGCATGCAACAGCACAGACTAACCGAGTAGTCGGAGTACTAGGAGTAGTAGATACTAGTAGTAAACATGGACGTGGATGAGATGGGTTTCATAGAATGGGGAATACACGCCAAACACATGTCTGGCGAGGGGGCCGGACGGCGTGGGAAAAAACAAAAAGTTGCCAGTGCCTCTGGTATCCTAGTCCGAGACAGGGGAAAAAAAAAAAAAAAAAAAAGAGCCCGCGTCGTGATGAAAGTTGCCTCCTTCCGACGGAGTCTAGAAGCAAGCTGTGGCCCTCCGAGCCGGACCGGACCAGCCCCCTGTTTTCCTTGTCCGTACGGAGTCTAACCCCAACCCATGAAAAGCACTGGGCAAAAAAAAGACAAAGGGGTCAGTCTCCCGGGAAGAGGGAGGGGGGGTTCCTCGGCAATCCCCTGTAATACATTAGGTGCGCAGTACTACAGAGTACTACTAGCGTGTACCTCGTGCTCGGTAGTAGTAAAATACGCGGGGGGCGAGCGGGCAGAGCGTCCAAGTTCCAACACTCAGAGCACCGAGGCCGAAAAGCCCGATCGGGAAGGACCCGTCAGTCGTTTGCTTGCTCCTCTTCCGCCGCAAACAAGCACACGCCGCGTCCACCAGATATGTACCTACAGGACCCAGGGCCCAGGTAGGCAAGTCGGAATACCGTGCTCCGTCTGGTGGCACGCGCGGTATCATGGCGCGTTATCAAGGCGTCAACAAGCCGGCGCGCAAGCCTATCTGTCCTCGGCACTGATAAGCCTTTTGTTTTTCTTCCTTGGCCCTGGTGGCAAACCCCCCCTGGTGGGTTCCTGGGCGAGGGAGACGTCACTTGGTCGATAACGGTTTGAACTACATCCTTACCGGGGGCACGCGCCATCTCTTTTTGGCTATCCGGGCAGCAGGCGGGCTGTGGGTTAAAACGCGGGGATGTCTCTTTTTGTGGTCGCCGGCGCCATGGGGGCGGAGGGAGGAGAGGAAACTACATACATACGTATGTAGGTGCTTCGGGGTCCGGCATCGTCGATAGTCTGAGCGACGGGCTGGTCGGGTTACGGTTACGGCTGAGCCACTGGCCCTGGGGGTCGTGCTGGACTCGTGATAGGGGGGCCTTTTGTGCAGGGGCGGTTTGGGCCTCCTCCAGGGACATTGACCGTCTTGGTTGGGTGGTTTGTGTGCCATGGACGGACTGGCTGCAACGGGTCGATCGGTCGCCGACTGCAACTTGCGAGGGGACGCTGCGTGAAGGCTGGAGGAGCATGAGAAAACTCCTGGCCGAGGTGCTGCATTACTGTACCTGGTAGGGGTTGGCATGTTAAAAGGGATCTTGGCTGGGTGATGGCCCGCCATGTCGTTTTTCAAAACCCCAGGTGTGCGGCGAATATCGTGAGTGCCGGTGGCTGCCGTTGCATTTAGGGCGATCAGCAGCATGTGATTGGAGATATGCCATGCCGGCATACTCTCATGTGCCTTTATTGCCAATTAGTATGAATGGCGGTAGACGTACTGTTACAAACACCGCCCGGGTTGATGTAGCCGAGATAAAATATATATTCTTGCACCATTCATTAGTCGAAAAGTGTCATTGGTAGATGAATTCTACATTCATGCCACCCCCATTCCATGCCATGCATATGAATCGACAAAAGTTGTGATAAAATACATCCAGCCCATCTAAATGCCACGCTTCCCAAATATCAGACACCTCCGTTTTTTCTCTGACTCGCACCGTTCATCATGGGGCCCTAGAAGATGAAACGAAAAGAATAAAGTTGCCCTGTTTAGAAAAGAAAAAGAAAAAAAAATTACATCGTCCCATAGCAAATAGCACCACCTCTCTTGTTTGAGTGCGTGCGTGCGTGCGTGTTATCGAGCTGGTGTTCTTGAGCTCGCCATCTCTCCGTAACGACCTCGGTGTTTCGTCGTGTCGTATGCTTGAAGCACACGTGTCTGGCTTTCGTCGGCCTGCGAGAAAGCGTAGCCACGCTGCTTTCGCATTCGCTGCACTTGTCGGACTTTCCGAATTGCTTTCTGAAATTGCTCCATTCTGAGAGGCATGTCAGTGTGCTGTACTTCACCATGGTGAACTCGGAGTGCATCTCTCCCTGGGAAGCTTTCTTGGCAAAGCAACTAGGTACATACCTTGGTCGATAATCTTGAATATTATACTTTTGAAGTTCTTGGATGTGATGATATGGCTTTGACATATACATGCGTTTGGCGTACTTCCACACGAAATCACGTAGCAGGCACATAAAAGCCAAGACGACAGTCTGGAGCCAGAAGACTGGGCTGGTGTACAACCGGGGAACCACGCCATGGTATTCCATGGAAAAATTAACCTTGGGCGCCACCGAACCGTAGGCAGCAATGAAAATATACCAAATGGCCATACTGCCGGGAATGGCAAGCACGTGGTATTTGGTCCAGTTGCTCGTAACAAGGGCCGCTTTACCCAGGACCGTCAAGAGGACTGCACCGTACAGAGCGGTTCCCCAGACCCAGTGGCCTGCAATCTTGCCATCTCCTTGGATGAGATCTCCGTACCAGAAGAGTTCTGCCCAGACATAGAGGATGATGGAGTGATAGAAGGCGTTGGCAATCCACTGAGCAAACGTCTTTAGTTTGAAAGAGGAATTGCTCTGGCCCATGGCGTATAGCGGAGGGTATCTATCAAGCAGACGTGCCGAGATGTATTGATCGAGAATGCCAAGGACGAGGGGTGGAAGGACAGTGTAGAAGACGTTATAGAACGATAGCGTCCATGACTCGTAAATAACCTGTCCAGAGAATACATTTTGAAAGGTAAACTAGAGAGAGAGAGAGAAAGAAACAGTCATCAGTTAGCAAGCCATTTTTTCATTTCCCGCCTCCTCGGGGCTACGCTTACCCAAAATTGTGTCAGGTATAAAGTGATATTCTTGTAAAATGAAAACAAAATCGTCTTGCTCACACGCTGGTAGCTCCACGCGCCGTGAACCAGCAACAGCTTGCGGAGATATCTGAACTGGGCGATGGCAACATCTGCACTCCGTGCAGCCTGTAAACCTTCCATGCCACTGATACCAATACCAATGTGGGCAGCCTGAATCATAGAAACATCGTTGGCTCCATCACCAATGGCGAGGAGGATAGAGCTTTTCTGATACTTCTTGACCAATTTCACCACAAGGGCCTTTTGCAGGGGCGACACGCGGCAGCAGACAACTGCCTTGCACATAATGGCAAGATCCAGGAATAGCTTCTCGAGGTCCTGCTCCAGCGCATACGTCAACGACTTGCCGTCTATGACCAATGCCAGTGTCTCCGACTCTATGGTACCATCTCCCTGGGTTCTGATCGCATCCAGCTTCTTCTGAATGTTGTCTCGTGTTGCTGCGGCAGTTTCTTCATTCACAATCAAAAGCATCATATCCTCGCTAAGAAGCTTGCAACTCATACCAATATTGATGGCGGTCTCCTGCCGGTCTCCAGTGAGAACCCAGACCTTGATGTTGGCCTCCTGCAAGGTATGAATGGTTTCAGGAACTCCATCTTGGAGGCGATCCTCAATGGCAGTGGCACCGAGCAAGAAAAAGTCGTGCTCGATGATCTCCGCAGCCTTGTCTAGCTCGTCAGCACGTGTTCCTCCCACAGTTGTTGAGGCAGCATCAAATATTCGTTGCCATTCGGAAAATTCCTGCTCAGGGACCTCGCGCATCGCTAAGCAAAGCGTTCGAAGACCCTCTGATGCGTATTCTTCTAGGTGCTGGAGAGTCGCTTCAACATGA